CCCTCCCTCCTTGTCTCCTTCCTTCCCCCTTTCCCTCCTTCATTCCTTCCCTCTTTCCCTCATTACTTCTTGACTGTCCCTTCCATTTAATTTGTTTTATCTAGTAATATAGTGACATATTATATAACAATCTATATAACAATATATAACATACTGTATTTATATCTTACATAGAAAGAAGGAAAGGAAGAAGGAAGAAAGGAGGGAAAGAAGGGAAGGGAAAGAAAGAAGGAGGGACAGGAAGGAAGGAAGGAAGGAAGGAAGGAAGGAAGGAAGGAAGGAAGGAAGGAAGGAAGGAAGAAGAAGGAAGGAGGGAAAGGAAGGAGGGAGGGAAGGAAATAAAGGGAAAGGAAATGAAGAAAGGGAAAGAAGGAGGAAAGGAAGGGCGGGAGGGAGGAAAAGAAGGAAAGGAAGAAGGAAAGGAAGGAGGGAGGGACAGGAAGGAAGGAGGAGGAAAGGAAAGGGAAGGAAGGAAGAAAAGGAAAGAAAGGGAGGGAGGAAAGAAGGGAAGGGAGTCCTTTCGTGTGGAGTGTGGCAGAGGCAGCTACCTCCTGTGTGTGTGTGTGTGTGTGTGTGTGTGTGTGTGTGTGTGTGTGTGTGAAATGTATGCTCGTGTTGCCAGAGACAGGCGAGCAGGTCAGACAGAAAGGAAAGGGTTAAAAAAGAAAGAAAACTGGAAAGACAGAATATGGGTCAAAGCTGGAAAGGCAGAAGATGGGTCAGAGCTGGAAAGGCAGATGGCCCAAAACTGGAAAGGCAGGAGATGGGTCAAAGCATGAAAGGCAGAAGATGAGCCAAAGCTGGAAAGGCAGGAGATGGCCCAAAGCCAGAAAGGTAGAAGATGGGTCAAAGCATGAAAGGCAGAAGATGGGTCAAAACTGATAAGGCAGGAGATGGGTCAAAGCTGGAAAGGCAGGAGATGGCCCAAAACTGGAAATCCAGACGTCTTACCCGTCACAATCCACAGTTTCCAGTCCTCCTCCCTCCCTGGCACAGGAAACAGAGAACACAGAGGAGAAGACCTGCTTATGTAGGAGGCTGCAGGACGCATCATAAAGGTTTCCATGGAACCTCTGTGCAGTCACAGTCCAAGCTTGGAGCTGGCTTGAACCTTGCTTCCGCACAGCCTTGTCCCTTTAATGCTCTCTTCTGTCCCCAGCTCTCAATGCGAATCCATGGGGCCAGCCCAGTCTGGGGTGCCTGAGGTCTCTTTGTGATGCCCTGTAAAGGAGGGTGTCTATAGATTTCAACATTTATAGTTCACCAAGGGCTCAGAAATAAACAAAGGACTTTTCCCCTTTTAAAAAAGGCCCTTTCCAGACTTGGAACAAGTTCAAAGCATCAGAAGATCAAGACCAAACCAGCAACAGTTATAAATCTCTAAACTCGATCAGCTCTAACCCTTTAATAAATTCTTCGGCCTGTGCGATCCATGTAAACAATGTTTCAGTGCTCATTGCTAAATTAAGGGGTGTGATTGGGAATCATTTCAAAAGTGTTTCCTAAATTGGACGGGGTTCGTATCGGAACTATAACAAGGCAACTACTTTTTTGTTAAGTAATCCGGCCAATGGGGGAATTTCAGGGGCTCCTTTCTCTCTCATTGTGAGAGCTATCGACATGAAACTTACTACAATGATAGACCACCTTGACCACTATCAACCCACCAAGTTTCAGAATATTTCACTCATCCACTGATAGAATCATAGAATCAAAGAGTGGAAGAGACCTCATGGTACATCCAGTCCAACCCCATTCTGCCAAGAAGCAGGAATATTGCATTCAAATCACCCCTGACAGATGGCCATCCAGCCTCTGTTGAAAAGCTTCCAAAGAAGGAGCCTCCACCACACTCCGGAGCAGAGAGTTCCACTGCTGAACGGCTCTCACAGTCAGGAAGTTCTTCCTCGTGTTCAGATGGTATCTCCTCTCTTGTAGTTTGAAGCCATTGTTCTGTGTCCTAGTCTCAAGGGAAGCAGAAAACAAGCTTGCTCCCTCCTCCCTGTGGCTTCCTCTCATGTATTTATACATGGCCACCATAGACCACCACTATCAACCCACCAAGTTTCAGAATATTTCACTCATCCACTGATTTTAGGGGAATTTCCAATTTTTTGCAAACAAAAAGAGCTATCTCGTTAAATTTTCTATGCAATGATACGAGATAACAGAGGATCATTCCCCCAAGTTTCAGAAAGATTTTGCATATCTACCGATTTTTTGGAATTTTAAAGTTTTGATAAAAACTTAAGATACGCCACAGCAATTCTCTCCTTGAATGTCTCTATATGACACACAACCCAACGTAGCCCATAGAACTACAATTTTGGGGGTTTCCTCCCAGTCCATATCAGAGTTACTTCCTAGTACCAGTCAGTCCTCCTCTTTGCAGATTCAACGATTTATTGGTGCTCTGGCTGCCGCTATGGAGGGACAAATCTCTCCCCATCTCCTCATTGGGGTTTCCTGGTGCTGAGCAAATGTCTTTAGGCCTTTTGTTGCAAAAGAATAATCTTCTGTTCTGTCACGCGCTGGGCCTGTAATAATTGTCTTTTGAAATAGGACGTGCACCTTGTGCCCAGCGGGAAGCCAGGGTGCCACGAAAGAGGCCCTCAAGGATTTTCCTGAAGAAATGGTCTTTAGATGGCTTGAAAGGTTAAACAAAGTCCTTTATTATTGAACAAATTAAACAGATATTTCTCAAATCTTCAATGAGTCAAACAAATGCTTCAAGGCTTTAAATCAACTGGTCGCTTCCTTAATCTTGTCCACAAGGGACAGGCAACTCTCTTTGTTAATTGTTCTTATACTTTGAGAGGAAACCCCTTTTTTAACCTCTCCCAGGCTGTCTGTTATCTACGTTTTGTTGGTGTGGGATCTACTACCGATTCCAAACTACGTCTTGGTACCGAGTAAACCTACCAGACAAAGCTTGCAGATTCTCCAGCTGGAGTTCTTTGGGTCTGTAAAGCTGTTTTCCCTCTGGAATTTCTTTAAGGCTTTAGGGCTGTTTCCCTCAGATGCTGTAAGGCTGAGAGGCTGCAAGCTCCCAGCCAGAGCTTTGGGAATTTCCCCCCGGAATGTCTTGAGAAATGAAGCTTTTCTGCAGGTGAAGCTTGTCCACGTCCTCTAACTTAGCTTTCCTCATTAAGACTAACTAAAAATGGCCCCCTCTTCCCTTCCCATCTCCCTGGGAGGATGGGCAGATCCAAACTTAGCAATGATAGACAGGTGGCTTGCCCTATGACTGCAAACCAAAGGAAGCCACCTTTTGCAGAATCCCTAAAACTTTGGAATGCATGCAAACATTAAAATAGAAAGAAAATGAAGTTGGAGCTCCTGGTACAGACGTACCAGCACATCTTCAGCGAAGAATTATTGCAGTTTGTCATAGCCCAATGGTATGTAATCCTGGGAGTTATAGTTTTATAAGGGCTTTACAACCTTCTGTGCCAAAAAGACCAAATTGCAACCCAAGATTGCATAGCATTGAGCCATGGAAGCTGAATTTTACAGCACAGATGCAGCTTGAAACTGAACTCATGAAAAACTAGGGAAGAGATTCCATTATGAGTTGCTAGGACAGTGTTTCTCAACCTGGGGGTTGTGAGGGGATTTCAGAGAAGTCGCCAAAGACCATAAGAAAACATATATTTCTGAAGGACTTAGAAACGCCTTTGGCAGAGAAGGCTGAATATCTCTCCGCCTGTCCTTCTCTTCCTTTTTGGAAACTGATGGGGAATCCTCCCACCAAAAGCCCTCCTCTGCTTTGATTGGCCGGCCTCTCAGCCAAAAGAAGGGCTGTTTCTGAGACTCAAAGCGGAGAGGGGACGGTGGGTGTGCACAGCGCATGGCAGCATGGTGTGCATCTGTAGGCAAAGGAGAGTGTGTGAGGCCGGAGGGAGGCGCGCATCAGTGAGTCTCTTCGAGGCATGGAGGTTCTGTGTGAAAAGTTTAGCCCAATTCTATTGCTGGTGGGTTCAGAATGCTATTTGATTGCGGGTGAACTATAAATCCCAGCAACTACAACTCCCAAATGTCAAGGTCTATTTCCCCCAACCTCCACCAGTATTCACATTTGGGCATATTGAGTATTTGTGACAATTTTGGTCCAGATCCATCATTGTTTGAGTCCACAGTTCTCTCTGGATGGAGGTGAACTACAACTCCAAAACTCGAGGTCAATGCCCACCAAACCCTTATGTTGGTCATTGGAGTTCTGTGTGCCATCGTTCAATTCCATCGTCGGTGGTTCAGAATGCTCTTTAATTGTAGGTGAACTATAAATCCCAGCAACTACGACTCCCAAATGACAATATCAATCCCGCCCCCAACCCCACCAGTATTCAGATTTGGGTGTATTGGGTATTTGTGCCAAATTTGGTCCAGTGAATGAAAATACATAGAATCATAGAATCAAAGAGTTGGAAGAGACCTCATGGGCCATCCAGTCCAACCCCATTCTGCCAAGAAGCAGGAATATTGCATTCAAATCACCCCTGACAGATGGCCATCCAGCCTCTGTTTAAAAGCTTCCAAAGAAGGAGCCTCCACCACACTCTGGGGCAGAGAGTTCCACTGCTGAACGGCTCTCACAGTCAGGAAGTTCTTCCTCATGTTCAGATGGAATCTCCTCTCTTGTAGTTTGAAGCCATTGTTCCGCGTCTTAGTCTCCAAGGAAGCAGAATCCAAGGAATTATGAATCAGATATTTGCATTATGATTCATAACAGGAGCCGAATTATAGTTATCATGTAGTGACGAAAATAATTTTATGGTTGTGGGTCACCACAACATGAGGAACTCTATTAAGGGGTTGCGGCATTAGGAAGGTTGAGAAACAATTGGTTTATTTGAAGAATTACATGAGAATTGCAAGAACAAGAATCAACTGGAATCAAGTGAGATCAATAAAATAGAAATCTTCGGGGAAGGGCTTTGTGTCTTCTGCTGCCTTTTGTCTTTGTTCAGAGATGCTTCCATTCGACCAGTCCTCTATTTTCACTTGCAGATCACAAGGGCGTGCTAAGCAAGGAGGGGAGAAAATAATAAGTTTCATTTCTGCAACATCCCATCTCCCGTTAAACATTACCACTTAGATCATTTCTGGTTGTCACTGGGTGCACCTCTAGACTGTCGTGGTCTCCAACTGCATTCAGTCTACAGGGTACACGCAGCCTTAGTTCTGGACAACTGTTGCACTTGAATACTTTCACTTCTTCCTACATTTCATGTATTTTGAAACTACGTCAAAGTACAGCAGTTTGACAACAAACACCCAGGAAAGCATGCAAAAGAAAGCTCTTAATGAACATCACTGCTCTGTAGTTCATGTCATCGCCATAGCTTGATGCTGTAGAATCCTGGCCCTCAAATGGCTCCAGGATTGCCGATGGAACCATCAACCACTTTCTTCAATACTAGTTTGAAACTTGTATAAATGGTCTGTGAAGATGTTGCTGCCATTTTAGGACTCACTTTACAACATGACCAATGGTTCCCAACCTTTTTTTGACCAGGGCCCACTTTGACCGGGACCCACTTAACAAAGGCCCACTTGACCAGGGCCCACTTGACCAGGGCACACTTGACCAGGGCACACTTGACTAGGGCACACTTTGACCAGGGCACACTTGACTAGGGCACACTTTGACCAGGGCATGCTTGACCAGGGCACACTTGACTAGGGCACACTTTGACCAGGGCCCACTTTGACCAGGGCACACTTGACTAGGGCACACTTTGACCAGGGCATACTTGACCAGGGAACACTTGACTAGGGCACACTTTGACCAGGGCACACTTGATCAGGGCCCACTTTGATCAGGGCACACTTGACCAGGGCCCACTTTGACCAGTGACCACTTGACCAGGGCCAACTTTGACCAGGTCCCACTTGACCAGGGCCCACTTTGACCTAAGCCCACTTGACTGGGGACCACTTTGACCAGGGACCACTCTCCAACATTAATACCAAAAGGGGTGGTGCTGGGCACACTTGACTAGGGCACACTTTGACCAGGGCACTTTGACCAGGGCACACTTGACCAGGGCACACTTTGACCAGGGCCCACTTTGACCAGGGCACACTTTGACCAGGGCCCACCTTTGACCAGGGCCCACTTTGACCAGGGCCCACTTTGACCAGGGCCCACTTGACCAGGGCTCACTTTGACCAGGGCCCACTTGACCAGGGCCCACTTGACCAGGGCCCACTTTGACCAGGGCCCACTTGACCAGGGCCCACTTTGACCAGGGCCCACTTGACCAGGGCCCACTTTGACCAGGACCCACTTTGACCAGGGCCCACATTGACCAGGACCCACTTTGACAAGGGACCACTTTGACCAGGGATCACTTTGACCAGGATCCACTTTGACCAGGGCCCACTTGACCAGGGCCCACTTTGACCAGGACCCACTTGACCAGGGCCCACTTTGACCAGGGCCCACTTTGACCAGGACCCACTTGACCAGGGCCCACTTTGACCAGGGTCCACTTTGACCAGGGCTCACTTTGACCAGGGCTCAGCACTTGACCAGGGCCCACTTTACCAGGACTCACTTGACCAGGGCCCACTTTGACCAGGGCTCACTTTGACCAGGACCCACCTGACCAGGGCCCTCTTTGACCAGGGCCTACTTTGACCAGGGCCCAATTTGACCAGGGATCACTTTCCAAGAAAACTGAGTTTTTGTCTATACAACAAGAATGAAACTTGAGGCCCATGGGCTATATACAATATGTTATGTGGCCCTCTAGATGCTGGACTACCTCTTCTCTTCCTCACCATTAGACATCATGACTAGAACTGATGGGAGCTGGAATCTGTTCTGTTTAGTCTGAATAATTGGGTTTGAATATAGATATAAGGCTTGTGAGTAGGATGCCGGACTTTAAAATGTCCTTTAACTTTTCCCCAACCTCAGAGCCACAAGGGTTGTTGTGTTGCGATTCCCATTATCCCCAGTCTACATGGCAGATAATCCAAAGTGAGCATTTTTGTTCTGTGAGAATTTTTCTTCAAACCTATCTTTCAATTTTTCTGGCTGTTGCTGTAATTTGTTCTTTCACGATTTCCAAAGCTTCTTCCATTTTTCTGGTGTTCAGCCAAGTACTTTCAGATCAGATATTGCTTATTGATCTTTGTCATTCTTCAATTTCTTTTATTATTATTATTATTATTATTATTATTATTATTATTATTATTATTACATTCAAAACTTACCCCAACTATTTTGATATTCACATTCACAAGGGAAAGGCCTAGGAATTCAGGCAGTGGTAAACCATGGGAAAGTGGCTCTGTAAGAAACAAATGATGTTATTGTAGCCCCTGTGAGAGATGCATGGAGCATCCGTGGAGTCTAGCAAGCACTGGAAGTCCTGGGACCATTGTATATAATGGGGTATGAGCATCCATGGATTCTAGCCTCCATTGGAGGTTTTTGAACCATTGGATATAATATGACATGAGCACCCATGGATTCTAGCCTCCATTGGAGGTTCTGCAACCAATGTATATAATGGGACATGAGCATCCATGGATTCGAGCATCCACTGGAGGCTCTTGAACCACTGGACATGAGCATCCATGGATTCTAGCCTCCATTGGAGGTTCTTGAACCATTGGATATAGTAGGACATGAACATCCATGGATTCCAGCCTCCATTTGGAGGTTCTTGAACCATTGGATATAATGGGACATGAGTATCCATGGATTCTAGCATGCACGGTAGGTTCTTGAACCATTACTTTTAATGGCATATGAGCATCCATGGATTCTAGCCTCCATTGGAGGTTCTGCAACCAATGTATATAATGGGACATGAGACTCCATGGATTTGAGCATCCACTGGAGGCTCTTGAACCACTGGACATGAGCATCCATGGATTCTAGCCTCCATTGGAGGTTCTTGAACCATTGGATATAGTAGGACATGAACATCCATGGATTCCAGCCTCCATTTGGAGGTTCTTGAACCATTGGATATAATGGGACATGAGTATCCATGGATTCTAGCATGCACGGTAGGTTCTTGAACCATTACTTTTAATGGCATATGAGCATCCATGGATTCTAGCCTCCATTGGAGGTTCTGCAACCAATGTATATAATGGGACATGAGACTCCATGGATTCTAGCCTCCATTTGAGGTTCTTGAACCATTGGATTCTAGCCTCCATTGGAGGTTCTTGAACCATTGCATATAATGGGACATGAGACTCCATGGATTCTAGCATCCACGGGAGGTTCTTGAACCATTGTATTTAATGGGATATGAGCATCCATGGGTCCTAGCTTCCATTGGAGGTTCTGCAACCAATGTATGTAATGGGACATGAGCATCCATGGATTCTAGCCTCCATTGGAGGTTCAGGAACCATTGTATATAATCGGACATGGGCATCCATTGGAGGTTCTGCCTCCAATGGAGCCTCCAATGGAGGTTCTGCAACCAATGTATATAATGGGACATGAGCATCCATAGATTCTAGCATCCATGGGAGTTTCTTGAACCATTGTATTTAATGGGATATGAACATCCATGGGTTCTAGCTTCCATTGGAGGTTCTGCAACCAATGTATATAATGAGACATGAGACTCCATGGATTCTAGCCTCCATTGGAGATTCTGCAACCATTGCATATAATGGGACATGAGCATCCATGGCCTGTGGCATCCATACAGAACCTAGAATCAAACCCCTACTGAATGCGTTTTGTCACAGAGGTTCAGCATCCTCCTGACGCCTAATAATTGGGATTTTGTCTAACCTGTTTTCCCATGCATATATCTAATAATCTCCCACAATTCCCGCCCAATTAATGTGACTGCCCTCCTGACGTCAAATCTCTGTGAACGTCTCCTGATGTCCCTGGCTGTTGCTCAGCCTCTTTTCCAGAGGGTCTTACCATTGAAAGCAGGCAAAATAATTTCCTCTATTAAGATGTTGATGGGAGGCAGAAGACCAGAAGGCTGTGAGAGAAGGAAGTAGTGAAAGGTGAAGGCATGGAACAAATGTGGATAAAGCACATTAATACAAAGTTATACTTCATGTAGCCTGGTAAAGTCACTTGAAGAGGTAGAGTTAGGGTACATTTACCCTAACTGTAGGGTTAACACACTTAGAATCATAGAATCAAAGAGTTGGAAGAGACCTCATGGGCCATCCAGTCCAACCCCCTGCCAAGAAGCAGGAATATTGCATTCAAATCACCCCTGACAGATGGCCATCCAGCCTCTGTTTAAAAGCTTCCAAAGAAGGAGCCTCCACCACACTCCAGGGCAGAGAGTTCCACTGCTGAACGGCTCTCACAGTCAGGAAGTTCTTCCTCATGTTCAGATGGAATCTCCTCTCTTGTAGTTTGAAGCCATTGTTCCAAGTTAGTCTCCAGGGAAGCAGAAAACAAGCTTGCTCCCTCCTCCCTGTGGCTTCCTCTCACATATTTATACATGGCTATCATATCTCCTCTCAGCCTTCTCTTCTTCAGGCGAAACATGCCCAGCTCCTTAAGCCGCTCCTCATAGGGCTTGTTCTCCAGACCCTTGATCATTTTAGTCGCCCTCCTCTGGACACATTCCAGCTTGTCAATATCTCTCTTGAATTGTGGTGCCCAGAATTGGACACAATATTTCAGGTGTGGTCTAACCAAAGCGGAATTGAGGGGTAGCATTACTTCCTTAGATCTAGACACTATGCTCCTATTGATGCAGGCCAAAATCCCATTGGCTTTTTTTGCCGCCACATCACATTGTTGGCTCATGTTTAACTTGTTGTCCACGAGGACTCCCAAGATCTTTTTCACACGTACTGCTCTCAAGCCAGGCATTGTCCCCCATTCTGTCTCTTTGCATTTCGTTTTTCCTGCCAAAGTGGAGTATCTTGCATTTGTCACTGTTGAACTTCATTTTGTTAGTTTTGGCCCATCATCTCTCTAATCTGTCAAGATCATTTTGAATCCTGCTCCTGTCCTCTGGAGTATTGGCCCTCACTCCCAATTTGGTGTCGTCTGCAAATGATGATGATGATGATGATGATGATGATGATGATGATGACAAGAACAACAACAACTGGAGCTTCTGCTTGAAAACATGGGAGATGTGATCCATCGGAGGCCTGTTGCAATTAATTCTTCTTCTTCTTCTTCTTTCGCGTTTGTATGCCATTTATTTTGCATTCATTGCATTTGCATGGCTGCCCTTCTCCCAGAGTGGCTTTCAAACAATTTTATAATTAATAGAAATAATATTTACAACAGCAATAATATTATATCTGGAGACAAAGCCAGAAATTTCGCTTTGGAAACATGTGAGCTAAATTCCATCTGGGGTTTACGGCAATTATTTTATTTGTGTTGCATTTGTATGCAATTTATTTTGCATTTCTCATCACCTTTCTCCCTAAGTGGAACCCAAGGTGGCTTCACAGTAAAATGTAAAACAATTTTGGGTTCTTGTAGGTTTTTCGGGCTATATGGCCATGTTCTAGAAGCATTCTCTCCTGACGTTTCGCCTGCATCTATGGATGCTTGCCATAGATGCAGGTGAAACATCAGGAGAGAATGCTTCTAGAACATGGCCATATAGCCCGAAAAGCCTACAACAACTCAGGGATTCTGCTCATGAAAGGCTTCGATAATACATAAAACAATTTTAGCCACCAATAATAAAAAAGCAAGCAATACAATACCCCTTTATATTGTTAAATGCCTATGTGCTGGTACGGCTGTACCAGGAGCTCCAACTTCCTTTTCTTTCTTGGAGTGTTTGCATGTATTCCAGAGTTCCATGCATTTTGCAATAAGGTGGCTTCCCTTGGTTTGCAGCCACCTGCCTATCATCGTTGGGTTTTTTCGTTCCGTCCCTTTCCCCAAGGTTCAGGAAGGAAAGGGAGCCTGTGACGATGTGTAATTTTATTCCTATGGTTATGTGTTGTTTAAACACTAGTTAATAAATGGTAAGTATGTAGGATTATATTTTGTTGGAGATGGTGGCTGGTTTGGCTTGAGTTGAGTTGCCTAGCAACGGGGACGGAGCCCACTGTCACTTCACAGCGCAGCTGTTTGAAAGTGGCAGTCTGTGACCAAAGAGTTACAGGAGAGGTAGTTGATCCTGTGGTGTGTGGAAAACCAGCAGGAATCCTATAGTTTTAGAACTATAGGAAAGACTGATCCTTTAATATTAAGAATCAGGGTTTGGCTGTGAGCCAATATAGTTAGATAAGTCAGGTGGCTTATTTGTAGTAAAAGGACGCTAGTTGAAGAAAGATATATCTACTCAAAGAAACCTTTTGAAGTCTGTTTAGTACCTAAAGTTATTCAGGAAACCTTATCAATGTAACTAACTAAGTTTGTGCCTCTTGTGAAGAAACAATTGAATATGTTATACTTCTGTTAAATAAACTTGTTACTATTTTCCTCAAGCCTTGCCTGATACAGTTTCTCCTAAGCCAAACAGCCTGCATAAGAAGTAAAACCAAACCAGGGATAGTAAACGCTACGCTATCAAATGAATAAATCCTTCTGTAAATAATAGTCCCTTTATAAACCAGCTTCTAAGCTGATATTGATCATTGCTCGGCTTTCCTCACAAATTTGGTGGCAGTAACCTCATCCCTCCGTCACAGAGTCATTTTGGCTCAGTCTTACAGCTGAAATCTTAGCTACAAGACGTGAATCAGCTCCACCTGTAAAGAAGCTTCGTTTCTTACGAAATTCCAGGGGGAAACGGTTCCAAAGGACTCCAGCTGGAGAATCTACAAAGCCTTGGCTGGGAGGTCTACTCGGGACCCAAGAAGCAGTTTGGAGCCGGGAGTAGAGCCCACACCAGCAAAGTTTAGAAAGTAGATTGCCCAAGGAGGGGTTAAAAAGGGTTTTCCTCTTACAGAAAAGAAACAGTTCACGAAGCCAGTTGCCTGTCCCTTGTGGACAAGATTAAGAAAGCCACCAGTTGATTCAAAGCCTTGAAGTATTTGTTAGACCCGTTGAAGATCTGAGAAGTATTTGATTGTTTTGTTGAAGACCTAGGTAATAATAAAGGACTTTGTTAAACTTTTCAAGCTTCTAAAGACTTTGTATAGGAAAATCCTTAGGGCCTCTCAGCTGAGGCACCCCGGCTTCCCACTGGGCACAAAGAGCACGTATGTTCAAAAGCCAATTGCTATAGGCCCAGCGCGTGACAGCACAGCCTACTTAAATTGGAATTAAAATCACTCACAGTTTCATTTCTCCAGAGTTTCAAATACATAACAATTTTCCTAAATATTCCGGGAATTGACAGAAGGACCTTCTGCATCTTATCTACCAATAAGCTCAAATATTTCCCTTTTGAAACCCATCATTTCCTAAAGGAAAGCTTGAAAGAAATGTGACGATGCTCTAGAAAACTTACATAAATGATTCCAGCAGCTGAGGTCACCAGCGTAAGAGCGTTCCTGAGGGTCAAAAATATGTCATATGGTTAGAATGCAAGTCTAAAAAGAGAGCAGCTGGCTTGATGTTTGCATGTATGTCTATGCACCTTCATGTCACCGGTTAATTTATGGTGACCCATGAATGTCTTAGGATTTACTTATACTCTAGTGGCCTTGCCAGTTCCTTCCTTGGGAAGATAGCCTACAATGCCTGGGATTCAGTGGTCTCCCATCCAAGAACTAGTCAGTATTTTTGAGATAAATTCCTCTACTATAATTAGATATTGCAACAACAGAGTTAGATGGCCATGTTCTAAAAGTCACAACCTCTGAGGATGCTTGCCATAGACGCAGGCAAAACGTCAGGAGAGAATGCTTCTAGAACATGGCCATAAACCCCAAAAAACCTACAACAACCCAGTGATTCCAGCCATGAAAGCCTTCGACAAAACAGAGTTAGAGTTTATGCTGTACACCGCCATGAGTCGCCCGAGAGGGCTGAGAATGGCGGTTAATAAATGCATCAAATAAATAAATAAATAAATAAGATACTGCCCATTGAGAGTGCATCTGCACTGTAGGATTAATACATTTTAAACCCACTTGAATTGTCATGACTCAGTGCTATGGAATACATCGCCTCTTGGCAGAGAAGACCTTGTAAAACTACACTTCCCAGGATTGCATAGCATTGAGTCATAGTAGTTAAAGTGAGGTCAGACTGCTTTATTTCTAAAGTGGAGATGCATCTTGAGTTTCATCATGACTTTTATAGAATGGAATAGCTTTACTGACATTGTTATTATTATTATTATTATTATTATTATTATTATTATTATTATCATTTATACCCTGCCACATCTCCCCAAAGGGGCGGCTTACATGAGGCCATGCCCATCAATACGGAAACACAATATAACACAAAAACACAACAGAAAAACAGAAAATAAAATAACATAAAATACAAAATGTAAATATACAGCACAATATAAAATCAAAACATTAAACCACTAAAAATGAACACAGTGGGCAGGGCCACTTCAAAGATTAAAATTTTTAATTGTACTATTGCACAACAAAATTAAATGACTTCCCCAGCACACACTACAAAACAACACACCCCAATCACCCCAACCACTGCCAAATGGAGCTTTAATGGAATGATGACTTTTCAGGTGGTGTTTAGGGAACAAGAACAGATGAATGAAAAGGAGAAGACAATGCTTTGGCCATATTTTCTTCCTGTTCTTCTCACTGAGCTTTTCCATCAGAGACTTCAAGGCTCACACTGAGACTTTTTTGAAGGACAACCCAAACTACAATGTAAACCAAAGGCTATGTCATCAGCGTAGCACTTTCTCCAAAAAGACCTCAAAGACCCAATTCATAGCAATCCTCCCCAGATACCCTAGAGACACTGTCCAGATGGGATGATGAGTCCCAAAACACTTACTTGGAGAGTGAGAGGTTGACGGTCAGTTTGCCATCATGCAAAGAGAAGGTGGCTTTCAAGGAAACGATCTGCATTACACATTTCAAAAAGACAAAAATGGTAATTGGTGAGTAAAAATGACTAGATTCCCACTTCCCATTAACATGCCAGAATCTTGCTGAGGTTCAAGGGTTTCTGACACCCCAGAAGAAAGCCTTTATTTACAAACTGGCATATCTACCCAGAGTTGCCTGGGTATGTAATCTATATAAATAAAAATGTAATGCTCGTTTGTGGGATTAAAAGAACTCAGAAACCACTGGACGAATTGACACCAAATTTGGACACAAGACACACAACAACCCAATGTATGTCCTTCACTCAAAAAAATTGATTTTGTCTGCCTGGTCCTCTGAGAAGACCTCCTTTAGAACATCTCCATGGCAATGCTCTGCCCCCCTGAAAGGGCCTCCTCAATACTCTAGCCCTCTTCCAGTGGTCTTTCTGAGAAGCCTTTCTATCAATATATTGTTCTCTTGTGGTTGTATCTGAGCACTACCTGCATACATACCTATTCACTTGTTTTGGGGACCCTAGACCCAAATGGGGTGAATGTGCTTAGTTGAAATCCCACTAGCATATCTACCCAGTGATATGCTTCTAATACTCTATATTGTGATCATATATTCCATATTGTGTTTTAAGTGGGATCATGATGGCTATGTGTACCAAGTTTGGTCCAGATCTATCAAACCACATAGGAGCTTTTGCTGAACAAAGCATATATATATATATATATATATATATATATATATATATATATATTCACTCTAATCTATATAAATAAAAATGTAATGTTCATTTGTGGGATTAACAGAACTCAAAAACCACTGGACGAATTGACACCAAATTTGGACACAAGACACCTAACAACCCAATGTATGTCCTTCACTCAAAAAAATTGATTTTGTCATTTAGGAGTTGTAGTTGCTGGGATGTATAGTTCACCTACAATCAAAGAGCATTCTGAACTCCACCAACAATGGAATTGAACCAAACTTGGCACACAGCTCTCCCATGACCAATTGAAAAAAGGCCTATGGGGGAGAGATAGGGGATTGTGGAGGGTTTGGTGGGTAGTGTCCTTTGGTTTTGGAGTTTTAGTTCACCTACATTCAGAGATCAATGTGGACACAAACAATGATGGATCTGGACCAAACTCTACATGAATACTCAATATGCCCAAACGTGAACACTGGTGGAGTTTGGGGAAAATGGACCTTGACATTTGGGAGTTGTACTTGCTGGGATTTATAGTTCACCTACAATCACAGAGCATTCTGAACCTGTGTGGGCCAAACCTCCAACACAGAACCCCCATGTGGGCCACAGCAACGCATGGCAGGGGACGGCTAATCTATTTAAATAAAAATACAATGTTTGTTTGTGGGATTAACATAACTCAAAAACCGCTGGGTGAATTGACACCAAATTTGGACACAATACATTTATCTGGCCAACAAGTGACCATCACTCATAAAAACACTGAAAAACACAGCAGAAGAAACTTAAAAGGCCAAAAAAGTAAAAATACATTACAATGCACGTGCAAAACCACATATAGGAACACAAACACACACCTATATATACACAAATATATACCACACATACACACACCTATACATATATACACAAATATATACCACACATACATACACCTATACACATATATACAAAAATATATACCACTCCTACACACACAAAACACATATACATAGACTGGGCCACAGCAACGCATGGTAGGGCATGGCTAGTATATATATAAATGGTACTACTTACACATCTCAAGACAGCTACAGAAAGTGGAGATTCATCTTTTTTCTTGGCCAGGATCTCGATACCAGCAAGGAGAATCACAGTGCCACCATCAGTGTCAAATGCAATGTGTGGGTTTCCCCTAACAGCAATTTTAAGATGGAAGTCACTCTAAGGAAAGAGGAAGAGAGAAAGGTGATCAGCAGTAAAGTTTCACTGGCAGAAATATTCAAATGTTCAAAGCCAGCTCTGAAGGAATGATATCCCAGGAGGGTTATCACACGTACCGTGGGGAGGTCTGGAAGAATCTAAAGAAAGAAAGAAAGAAATGGGAGATTTAGCATGGAATCTCAAAAAAGCTGTCAGGATCCTATCCATCAGTCCTACCATGCTCTATTGGCACCATACTCTCTGTATGATCATGCGTGGCTTCTACGTGTATTCCACATGCCTCCTGTATTGCCCTGTATTGCAATATGGCTAATCTACCCAGTGATATACTTATAATACTCTATATTGTGAGCACATATTAGATATTGTGAATGCTTGTGCAGGTACAGCTGTACCAGGAGCTCCAATTTTGCTTGCTTTGCATTTAATGTTTGTTGTAGTCCTAAGTTTCAGGTGGCTTCTTTTGGCTGCAATCATAGGGCAAGCCACCTGTCAATTATAGTTAGGTTCCCTGGTCCCGCCCCCTTTTTGGGTTTTGGAGGGAATAGGAGCCTTTTTGGGTTCAGTCCACACAGAGAAGCTTTCCATGCAGGACATAATACTAAGAGCTCCTGTAGAAAGCTTCGTCTTCTACAGCTTGGCTGGGATTATACAGCACTACAGCTTGGCCAAGGATCATACAGCCTTACAGCTCCTTTGCGGAGTGACTTCAGTCAACCATCACTGAAACCTGAACTCCTTTTCCCCTGGAGATCTACAAAGCTCTGCTTGGTAAAGATCACTCGCGGAAGCCAGAAGCAGTTGGTACTGGGTGCAGGGGCTCCACGCCAACAGAGGCAAAGACAGACTGCCCAGATTAGAAGTTAAGGATTTCCCCATTAGTTACAGTTATGAAGATAGTGCCTGTTCCCTGTGGACAAGCTTGAGAGAGAGCCAATAGACTGTTAAGAATGCCTTGAAGTACCTGTTTGTTTTCATTAATAAAGAACTTTATTGAGCCTTTGAGCAATCTAGAGACTCTGTTTTAAGGAAATCCAAAGGCCTTTAATCTGAGGCAGCCCCGGCGTCCCCATTGGGCACACAGAATTTATGTCCTGTCTACAGTCTTATGCACAGGCCCAGCATGCGACAGCACAATGCTTGTATATGTAATACACATGATGGTTAATATTTGAAAACTACTTGATAGAAAATCGTTCCTTGGTCAGCAGGATGGTATGACTGAACTTCATTAGCCAGAAATTCAGGCCTATCTTGTTCAGACTGAAATTATTTATTTATTTATTTATTTACTTCATTTATATACTGCTTTTCACAGCCCTCAGGCGACTCAAAGCGGTTAACAACAGCAAAATTCAATGCAAAAACATCACAAAACGAATATGGGACAGTTAAAAGCAGTAGCATCATCAACGATTAAACATCAGTATAACAATCATTAGTGTCTCATCAGTAAAATCAGAATCCAATCTCATCATCCATTATTCCGTATTCCTATATTCAATTACACTGCTTAATCGAATGCTTGTTCAAACAGCCAGGTCTCCACTTTCCTCCAAAACGCCAACAGGGAGAGGCCCAATCTGATATCTGTAGGAAGGGCGTTCCACAGCCGAGGGGCCACCACTGAGAAGGCCCTGTCTCTCGTCCCCGCCAGGCGCGCGCCTGTGATGAAGGCGGGACCGAGAGCAGGGCCTCCCCAGATGATTTTAATGTCCTAGTTGGTTCATAGGAGGAGATGTGTTCAGAGAGATAAGTAAGGCCAGAACCGTTTAGGACTTTATAGGCTAACGCCAGCACTTTGAATTGTGCCCGGTAGCAAACTGGCAACCAGTGGAGCTGGCACAACAGAGGGGTCGTATGCTCCTTGAGTGCCGCTCCTGTTAGCAACCTGGCTGCCGAACGCTGGACCATTTGAAGCTTCCAAGCAGTCTTCAGAGGCAACCCCACGTAGAGAGCGTTGCAGTAGTCTATACGGGATGTAACCAGAGTGTGGACTACCGTGGCCAAGTCAGACTTCCCAAGGTACAGGCGCAGCTGGCACTCAAGTTTTAACTGTGCGAATGCTCCCCTGGTCACCGCCGAAACCTGGGGTTCCAGGCTCAGAGGTGAATCCAGGATCATACCCAAGCTGCAAACCTGCATCTTCAGGGGGAGTGTGACCCCATCAAGCACAGGCTGTAACCCTATTCCCTGTTCGACCTTGCGACTGACCAGGAGTACCTCTGTCTTGTCTGGATTCAATTTCAATTTGTTTGCCCTCATCCAGACCGTCACAGAGGCCAAGCACCGGTTCAGGACCTGGACAGGCTCCTTAGTAGCAGGTGGAAAGGAATGACAGAGTTGGACATCATCTGCGTACAGGTGACATCATACCCTGAAACTCCGGATGATCTCTCCCAGCGGCTTCATGTAGATGTTAAACAACATGGGAGACAATATTGAACCCTGAGGAACTCCACAAGACAATGGATACAGAGGTCATACAACATTTATCATAACTCTAACAGTTAATCTAGCCTGCAATATATATTTTAAGGCCTTTTTGTTATAACTATTTTATTTTGGATATAAGTTGTCCTGAAGAGGGGGGTGGAAGGGTATACATTCCAATATCCCAGATATCAGGATCATAAACACTCGTTTGGCAGCTCACATGGACATATTCACTGAGCCCTGGCTATTAACAAAGATCACTTCAACATGAATAATGAGCCGGGGCATTTATGTATTCCCTTGGTTTAGAAGAAAGATATCCAACTGCCTTTTCGCCTTTTTGTCTTCCACTCCCCTTCTACTCTCTTCATCCACACTTCCAAGCCATCCTGCAAAAGACCACTTTCGATACGGCCTCGCATTTCAGGGAATCCAGAATGCGTTGCGCTAAACATCACTCACCCAAGGTGGAAGCAGAGCCACAATAGCCTTCCTCAGCTCCTCGGCTTTAGAGAACTGTTGTAAGCAAAGGAATGGAGAGCATTAGTGCATGAATTTGAGGAACGAACATCTTGCTACTTACATAATGACTTAATTGCATTGAAAGCTATGAGTAAAACGATAATAAAATGACCATGCAACGTGAATGCAATGCTGCAAAAACATATCTTGCTTTGTAACTTGGAGTTGTGTTTGTATGTTGCAGACGTTTGCATGTTCATAGTGATTGAGATAAGCCCATATGCTTTCAAAGGATCTATTTTGGTTGTAAAATTTGCCCTCTCCATGATGGACTTTGTCACAAAAGGAGCACCTCTGACTTGAAACACCACACCAGCTTGATAAAATCAGCAAGCGGTTTATTGAAGAATATGGGTAGCCAAAGCAGTAAAAAATAGTAAAACAGTAAAAGCCCAAAATCCATTAGTACATAGAAATCCATGAAGCAAGGCACTTGAAACCATGGAACAAAACAGCAGGAACTCCCAGGCAAAAACTTAAACTTGGCAACAACTTGATACATGAAACATAGAGCACTTGAAAGCAAAACCAGCATGCAATAACAAGCCCAGCAGGAAGCCAGGGTGCCTCAAAGAGAGGTTCTCGGGGAGTTTTCTGAAGTAATGGTCTTTAATGATACAACAAAGTCTTTATTATGGAACAAACAACAAATCTTCAATGGTTCAAACAACACTTCAAGGCTTTCTTAGTCTTGTCCTCAATGGACTGGTACCCGACTTTGATTAACTGTACTTTCTCTGTAGGAAAAACCCTTTTTAACCTCTCCCAGGCTGTTTACTACCTATGCCTCATTGGTGTGGGACCTACTACCGATTCCAAATGCGTCTGGGTATCAAGTAGACCTACCAGCTGAGGCTTGAAGATATTTCAGCTGGAGTTCCGTGGATCTGTAATGCTGTCCTCCCTCCGATAATTCTTTGAAACTTCAGGGCTGTTTCCCCTCTGATTGCTGTGAGGCTGACAGGCTGTGAGATCTCAGCCAGAGCCTTGGGACCTTTTCCCTGGAATTTCTGTTTCTGTTTCCCCGGATGTTCTGTTTCCCTGGATGCTCTGTTTCCCTGGATGCTCTGTTTCCCTGGATGCTCTTGAGAAAAGAAGCTTTTCTACAGATCGAGCTGGTCTACGTCCTATAGTTAGCTTCCTTATGTGAGATTGCCCAAAAAAATTGCTCCTTTCCCTCCCAGAGCCCTGAACAAGGGGCGGAACCAAAGCTTAATTATGATCGTCAGGAGGCCTGTCCTATGACTGCAAACAGATAACAGAAAGAAAATAAAGTTGGAGCTCCTGGTACAGCCATACCAGCACACAACCCATTACGGAAAGTAAGCATTTGCAGTATAGTTGATTTTGCACAGGGGCGCTCTTGAGGCGCTCTTGGGGGGAAAGACCTTGACATATGCAAGTTGTAGTTACTGGGATGTATAGTTCACCTGCAATCAAAGAGCATTCTGAGCTCCACTAATGATTGAATTGAACCAAATATGACACACAGAACTCCCACGATGAACAGAAAATATATATCAGTGATTGGTTCGGGGGGGGGGGGGTGCCAAAATACTGTTTGCTTACTGTTGAAAATTACCTAGGGCTGCCTCTGCTCAACTGAGATACTAGTCCCCCAAGAATCATTATAAACCCTTTCCAAAGGCTGAAACTGACAGGAAAGCCTTCTTTCTCACTTTCCCACTAGATAACGGTGTCGTACCTCAGGGTAGATTCACCTTGCTCAGAACACCACACACACCAAGGCTGTAGGTTTTGTAGTTTATTAAAGAAAATGCAAAGACTTAAACACAAAAGTAAAGTTGCAAAAGTTCAATAGTCAAACAGAGACTTACATGAAAAGGCAGAGTTTCCAAGGTCCAAAGGCAAATAACATTAAGCATAATCCATAAGCATTGATCAAACAAGGTTCCATGGCAACATGACAGTCTCCAGAAGCCAAGATCCAAATCAAAGTCCCAAGAAGCCAAAAGCATTGCGCAAAAACCCAAGCAATCCAAAGAAGTTATCAGGGTGTTCGCTGAAGTTGCACTGACAAAAGGTTGCCTTCAATCAGCTCACTAAATATACTTTCCCAGCATGAAAGCATTCCTTTGACTTCTAACTTCTCTCTTGTTGGCAAGCCTTGTACTACAGTGAACCCTGAATTGCAAGCGATCCTCCCTATCTAAATCTGCAGAGTCTTCAAGGTCGAATAACTCATTATCCTGAGACTGGGAATCGGTAGGCAGAGCGCTCACAGGCTGGCTCACCTCCTCCACCCGCACCTGTGAAGTTTTACTAAGATCAGAAACATCTTCTAAGACATCATCCCTTCCCATGGAGGAGCGAATTTTGTGGGAGCGAATTCCACAAACAGGAGGCCACCACCGAGAAGGCCCTGTCCTCGCCCTCAGCATCAACATTGTCTATATCAACAATAGGAACATGTTCAGGAATCTGAAACCCATCATCCTCTTCCTGCTCTTCCTGAGGCTCCAGCTGAGCCACAACAAACGGTTTGTTATCTTTCTTCTGCTGTAAACGAACAGAACGCCTGAGATTCTGAAAGTTCTGCTTCTGTTTACTAAAACTTTGCTTTCTGGCCAAGGTTTCACTGTTCTCTCCCTCTGCACCTGGTAAAGCAATCTCAGCATCATTTTGGGGTGCGAATATAAATGCTGTAAATAAATAATAATACATAAATATGGCTGTAGAGACACAGATCACAAATCAGCACATTTGCACAAATTGAGATAAGTAGAATAACGAAGTTGCTCAATCTGGTATGTAGCAGCTGTCGATTATGATGCAACTGTCATGGCAGAGCAGCTTCGTGCAGTATTTATTTATTTATTTCAAATATTTGTACCCCGCCCTTCTCAAGTCCCCCCCCCGGGGGGGGGACTCAGGGTGGCTTCCAGCTGGCAACAATTTGATGCCTCCAAGTACCATAATAACATACATAGCAGAACCAATCTATATATATATAAATGCTCTGTGCGTAATGAGTACCTTAAAAACAAAAAAACTACTGGGCCAAATGACCCCAAATTTGGCAACAAAACTCTTCACAGTCCAAGGAGTGACCATCACAAAAAAACCCACAAAAAATTAAATTAAATATATTACTATATTAAATAGACTCTTAGAATAGAATTAGAACGGACTCTACCATAGTATTGGTAGAAGAGAAGAAAGGATGGAGGGGAAAAGGGAAGGAATGTAGGAGGGAAAGGGGAGGGAAGGAAACAGAGAAGGAGGGAAGGAAAGAGGGAAGGAAGGGAGAGAAAGAAGGAAAGAAAGAGGTACAGAAGGAAGAATACAAAGTAGAAAGAGAAAAAGGGGAGGAAAGGCAGGAAAGAGGTAAAGAAGGAAGGAAGGAGAAAAGGAAATAAAAAGTGAAAGAAGGAAGGAAACAGGGAGGGAAGAAAGGAGACAAAGGAAGAAGTAGAGAAAGGGGAAGGGAAGGAAGGGAAGAGAGAAGGAAGAAATCAAAGAGCAAAAGAAGGAATGAAAGAAAGAGGTAGAGAAGGAAGAAAGGAGGGGAAGGGGAAGGGGAAGAAAACGGGGGGAAAGGAATAGGTATGTGCCTCTCTTTCATAATAGTCCAGATATCTACCTCTACTTCGAAAATTCTTACTATGGGCCACAGCAACGCGTGGCAGGGCACAGGTAGTAATTATATATAGTTAAAAAACAGTAAATCAATTCAATTAAAAATGTGGTTAAATATAAAAGCTTTATGGCCTCATCTAGCCAAATTCTGTAGTCGGAGATCCCATCAAGCTTGTCCATTGTCCATTACCATATCAATTGTTATCATTGTCATTGTCCTTGTATGCATAATTACCCAAAGGCCTGATCCTACATTCATGTTTTCAACTTCTTTCTGAAGGAAAAGAGGGGTGAAGATGACCTAATTTCCCCAGGGAGCAAATTCCACAAGCGGGAGGCCACCACCAAAAAGGCCCCGTCCGTCGTCCCCACTAAGCATGTATGTGACGGAGGCGGTCCCGAGAGCAGGGCCTCTCCAGAAGATCTTAAACTTTGAAGTGGAACATAGAAGGGGATACGTTCAGACAGGTACACAGGGCCGGAACTAGGATATGTATTTATTTTATTTATTTAGCAATTTTGTATACCGGTCTTCTCTCCTCTGTCGAGGGACTCGGGCCGGTTTCCAACAGTAATATCACAAACAGTCATTAAAAACATCATATTACATATTACACTAAAACGTTAAAATAGCAAAATGCAATCACATAATTACAATGGTCAGTCGTCACAGTAAATTCGTTGTTCGTCATTCGTCGTCGTCCATCCATATCACAGAATATTGACTCACTCGTCAAAAGCCAATCTCCATAGCCAAGTTTTCACCTGTTTTCTGAACGTCAAGATGGAAGGGGCAGTTCTGATCTCCAGTGGGAGAGAGTTCCAGAGCCGAGGGGCCACCACCGAGAAGGCCCTGTCCCTCGTCCCCACCAGACGCGCCTGTGAGGCCGGTGGGACCGAGAGCAGGGCCCCTCCAGACAATCTTAACAATCTAGATGGTTCATAGGGGAGAATACGTTTGGACAGGTAAATTGGGCCGGAGTCGTTTAGGGCTTTATAGGTTAACACCAGCACTTTGAATTGTGCTCGGAAGCTAATTGGCAGCCAGTGGAGCTGGTGCAACAGAGGAGTAGTATGCTCCCTGTATCCCGCTCCTGTTAGTAATCTGGCTGCCGCTCGTTGGACTAGTTGAAGCTTCCGGGCAGTCTTCAGAGGCAACCCCACGTAGAGAGCGTTGCAGTAGTCTAAACGGGATGTAACCAAAGCATGGACCACTGTGGCCAAGTCAGACTTCCCAAGGTACAGGTGCAGCTGGCGCACAAGTTTTAATTGTGCAAAAGCTCCCCTGACCACCGCTGAAACCTGGGGCTCCAGGCTCAGCGATGAGTCCAGGATCACTCCCAGTAAAGGGTTTTGTAGGTCAAAACCAGCACTTTGAATTGTGCTCGGAACTGGATCGGCAGCCAGTGGAGCTGACATAGCAGGGGGGTGGTCTGCTCCCTGTATGACGCTCCGGTGAGTAATCTAGCTGCCGCCCGTTGGACTAATTGAAGTTTCCGAACAGTGTTCAAAGGCAACCCCACCTAGAGCTCATTGCAGTAATCTATTCGGGATGTAACAAGAGTATGGACCACTGTAGCCAGATCAAAGTCCTATGACAACCAATATCCATTTTTGGGTAAGAATTACCTATCGGACTGAGAGTACTCACCACCGCAGGGTCATTGCTCAGTTCCAAAGGCAGTTTGGGGGCGAAGACACGCAGTAGTATGTTGAAGACTTCTGGGTGGAAAGCAACACAGTAGTCGCGGCCATTCAAAGAAGGCCCTTCGATCAAGGCAGCTGACTTGGGGATGGAGATAATTATGCCTGACTCTAACTGGACAGAAAACTGAAAAGAGATATATTAGATATATTAGACAGCTAGGTGTGTGTGTGTGTGTATAAATGCTCTGTGCATAATGAGTACCTTAAAAACAAAAGAACCAATGAACGAAATCACACCAAATTTGGCAACAAAACGTCTCACAACACAACAAGTGACCATCACTCAAAAAATTATGATTTTGTCATTTGGGAGTTATAGTTGCTGGGATTTATAGTTCAACTACAATCAAAGAGCATTCTGAACTCCATCAACAATGGAATTGAACCAAACGTGGCACACAGAACTCCCATGACCAACAGAAAATACTGGAAGGGTTTGGTGGGCATTGACCTTGAGTTTGGGAGTTGTAGTTCACCTACATCCAGACAGCACTGCGGACTCAAACAATGATGGGTCTGGACCAAACGTGGCACAAGCACTCAATACGCCCAAATATGAACACAGATGGAGTTTGGGGGAAATAGACCTTGACATTTGGGATTGGTAGTCACTGGGATTCACAGTTCACCTACAAACAAAGAGCATTCTGAACCCCACAAATGACAGAATAGGGGCGAATTTCCCACAAAGAACCCCCATGACCATCAGAAAATACTTAAGGCCATCCACTCCAACTCCCTTCATCAGGGCAAGGAAACGTAATCAAAGCCCTCCTGACAATGAGCCATCCAGCCATAGATATAGATAGACAGATAGATTGGGAGTTGTAGTTGCTGGGATTTATAGTGCACCTACAATCAAATAGCACGATAGAATTGAACCAACCAGGGCATGCAGGACTCCCATGGCCAACAGAAAACACTAGAAGGGTTTGGTGAGCATTGACCTTGAGTTTGGGAGTTGTAGTTCACCTACATCCAGAGACTACCATGGATTCAAACAATGATGGATCTGGACCAAACTTGGCACGAATATTCCATATGCCCAAATATGAACACAGATGGAGTTTGGGGGAAATAGATCTTGACATTTAGGAGTTGTAGTTACTGGGATTTATAGTTCACCTACAATCAAAAAACATTCTGGACCCCACGAATGACTGAATTGGGGCAAACTTCCCACACAGAATCCCCATGACCATCAGGAAATACTTAAGGCCATCTATTCCAACTCCCTTCATCAGGGCAAGAAAACGTAATCAAAGCCCTCCTGACAAAGAACCATCCAGCCATAGATATAGATAGATATATGATTCACACACAGAGAGATATAGCATCATAGATTTGAAAAGGACCCTTAAAGAAGGACAATGATATGCTGCATGTTCCAGAGTAGGCAAACCAGACAATCTCCACATCAACACTGACAAAGAAACAGCAAGAAATACCGTTTACCCACAAGCAGAAAGAAATTGCATATATTAGAAACCAACTTTTTCTCAGTACTTTATTTTCCAGATCAACAGACTGGGCCACAGCAACACATGGCAGGGGACAGCTAGTGTGTGTGTGTGTGTGTGTGTGTGTGTGTGTGTGTGTATAAAGGAAAACAACATCTGTCCGTAATTGATGGAGCATTGGCAAGTCTTAGCTGAATAACGAGTGGTCAACCAATCCAGAACAACATCAGCAAGAAGTTGCTGTATAAGAAGCCCTTTCCTGTTGGAAAAGTGTAGCAGTATTCATATATTCGTGGATTCATGAAGATCCATTGCCTAGTCAAAGCCATGGTATTCCCTGTAGTCACCTACGGATGTGAGAGCTGGACCTTAGGGAAGGCTGAGCGAAGGAAGAGAGATGCTTTTGAGCTGTGGTGTTGGAGGAAAGTGCTGAGAGTGCCTTGGACTGCGAGAAGATCCAACCAGTCCATCCTCCAGGAAATAAAGCCTGACTTCTCACTGGAGTGAAGGATATTAGAATCAAAGGTGAAGTCCTTTGGCCACATCATGAGAAGAAAGGAAAGCTTGGAGAAGACAATCATGCTGGGGAAAATGGAAGGCAAAAGGAAGAGGGGCCGACCAAGGGCAAGGTGGATGGATGGCATCCTTGAAGTGACTGGACTGACCTGGAAGGAGCTGGGAGTGGTGACGGCCGACAGGGAGCTCTGGCGTGTGCTGGTCCATGAGGTCACAAAGAGTCGGAGTCGAATGAACGAATGAACAACATTCATGTATTCACGACAAAAACAAGGAAACAGACACAGCTGAAGATCTAGAGGGGTGTTTCTATCTATTTCCAATACTCACATGAATATCTATTTCAAGATGAATGGATGTTATCTTAGGCAAGGCTGCCAACTGAAACATGGCATTTCCATAGGGGCCCAGAGGAATCACCGCTGTGTGGAAACAGAAAGAACGGTTAGGTCACTCAGCTGCACTTGTTTCTTTTAAAATCCCATATTACTTTCTTTGCCCTTTTACATGGTTGTGCGATTTCAGCTCCCCGACATTGCGGGGTTCAGAAGCCCAGACTGCAAAGCAACCAGAAGTTCGAAAGAAATGCAAACGGGGTTTGAAGGCAAGGCAGAGGTCATTCTTCTCAATGGTCAAAGGTGGCGGCTTTTTTTTTGCCGCCACATCACATTCCTGGCTCATGTTTAACTTGATGTCCACGAGGACTCCAAGATCTTTTTCACACGTACTGCTCTCGAGCCAGGCATTGTCCCCCATTCTGTATCTTTGCATTTCGTTTTTTCTGCCTAAGTGGAGTATCTTGCATTTGTCACTATTGAACTTCATTTTGTTAGTTTTGGTCAATCATCTCTAATCTGTCAAGATCATTTTGAATCCTGCTCCTGTCCTCTGGAATCTCCAGAAATTACTCCTTCCAGCAAAGTCACAACCTGACTCACATAAAGCATGGTCACCTCAGTGGGGTTTAATATATGAAACACAGGAAAACCATTAAATAGTCAAGGAAGGGTTCAGGTGCAAGGTTCTCACCGTTTATACTATCCGTCCATATCTGCTCAACCTGATCAAAGACAATCGGCAGAACGCCACATACCTGCAGGAAGAAGACATAGAATAAGAGCCTGTGGGAAGTCACATCTTTCCTTCAGCTCAATACAGGTTGAGCATCCCTTATCCGGAATTCCAGGCTTTCCCACATTGCCAAAATAGCAACTTTTGAGTTTCTAATGGCTCTGTGCTGGTACGGCTGTACCAGGAGCTTCCGCTTCATTTTCTTTCTATTGAGTGTTTGCATATATTCCAAAGTTCCATGCATTTTGCAGTAAGGTGGCTTCCCTTGGTTTGCAATTATAGGGCCAATGACCTGTCTATCATTGTTAAGTTTTGGTTCTGCCCCTTTTTCCAGGGCTCTGGGAGGGAAAGGGAACCATTTTTAGTTCAGTCTTATAGTGGAAAGCTTAGCTACAGGACGTGGATCAGCTCCATCTGTAGACAAGCTTCGTTTCTCACAGCATCCGGGGGAAACAGCTCCACACCTTTCGTGGAAAAGATCCAAAAGAACTCCAGCTGGAGAATCTACAAAGCCTTGGCTGGTAGGTCTACTCGGGTAACCAGAAGCAATTGGAGCCGGGAGTAGAGCCCACACCAGCAAGCATAGAAAGTAGATTGCCTGGGAGGGGTTAAAAAGGGTTTTCCTTTTAAGAAAAGAAACAGTTCACGAAGCCAGTTACCTGTCCATTTGGGCAAGTTAAGAAGCATTTGTTTGACTTGTTGAAGATCTGAGAAGTGTTTGTTTAAATTGTTGAAGATCTAAGCAATAATAAAGGACTTTGTTAAACTTTTCAAGCATCTAAAGACTTTTGTATAGGAAAATCCTTAGGGCCTCTCAGCCAAGGCACCCCGGCTTCCCGCTGGGCACAAAGAGCACATCCTGTTCAAAAGACAATTATTATAGGCCCAGCGCATGACAGCACAGGCTCTATGTACCCAAACTTACTTCTCTACACAAAATTATTAAAGATATTGAGTATATAATTGCTTCCAATCTATGTACAGGCGAAACATCAGGAGAGAAGGCCTCTAGAACATGGCCATATAGCCCGAAAAAACCTACAACAACCCAAAGTCTTGTCTTATCTTATCTTGGTAGATTTCTGAGTATCTGTTAACAATAATGTACTTTAGAAAAACCAAATCAGCTTCCATTGAAACAACAGTCAGTCTACCAAATTCCTGATCCTCTTTCACCATTTTGTCATATTGACCGGAATCAGATGATATATTTAGTTTTGTCACTCTCAACTCAAGACAAGCATGGATTACCCATTCAAATCCTAGAATCTCAGAATCATAAGAGCTGGAAGAGATCCCAAATGCCATCCGGTCTAAACCCTTCTGCTAGGAAGGAAAACACAATCCAAGCTCTCCCAATAGATGGCCATCCAGCCTCTGCTAAAAAACCAGCCTCTGCTTTAAAACTCCTCCAGGGAAGGAGATCCCAAAAGACTCCCAAGCAGCATATTCCACCGCTGAAGAGCTATCACTTACAGGAAGTTCTTCCCACTGTTTAGGGGAAACCTTTTTGCCCTCCTCTCCTTTGCCTACCGTAGATTGGGATCCAATAGCAGCCTCTTTCTGTCTGCCTGTCTTCCTTCCTTCATCTCTTTCTCCTTTCTCCCTTGCGCACTCTCTCCTTTCGGGCTGTCCGGTCACAAGCTCCGCCCAAGACGAAGAGGAGGAGGAGGAGGAGGAAAGGGAAAGCTTGGTCCTCTTTTTCTCTCTTGGATGCTCCCTCCCGCCTCTGATGCGCAACGATACTGGGGCAACAACTCCCATCAGCGGAACTCTTCCCCACCTTTGGTCATTACATCACGAAACCAACCCAGTGCAGGGAGATTGTGTGTGTGTGTATGTACCTACTTTGCGGATTTTCACTTTTCGCGGATGATCCTGGAAATTAACACCCACGATAAGTGAGGAAACACTGTACATTTTGTTAGTTCTGGCCCAGTTCTCTTATCTGTGAAGTTCCTTTTGGAGCCTGACCCTGTCCTCTACCATATTAGCTCTCTCTCTCTCTCAATTTGGTGCAAGGCATCTGCAAATGTGATCAGCGTGCCTTCTGTTCCATCTTTTGGCCACGAATGCCTTCCCGTCCCTTGACGACAGACAGTTGTCTTACCTGCTCCTGTAAATCTGTCACAAGAGATTTCTGCATTGGTGTTCTCAACGATGGTGGAAGCGCACTGCTAAATGAAACAATAAGCACAAGAAATCACCGGACAAAGAAAGGCCTCCAGCATATCGTCAAACAGCATATCGTCAAATAGACTATGTGTCCTATTTAAAAGATGGTATGCTAACTGCAATTCTATGGTCAACATCAATCAGAAGAAGTCTGTCTAGGTCAGTGGTTCTCAACCTGGGGGTCAGGACCCCTAGAGGGGTCATGAGGGGGTGTCAGAGGGATCGCCAAAGACCATCACAGACAGCATTTTCTGTTGGTCATGGGTGTTCTGTGTAAAAGGTTTGGCCTAATTCTATTGCTGGTGGGGTTCAGAATGCTCTCTGATTGTAGGTTAACTATAAATCTCAGCAAATACAACTCCCAAATGTCAAGGTTTATTTTCCTCAAACTCTACCAGTGTTCACATTTGGGCATATTGAGTATTTGTGCCAAGTTTGGTCCAGATCCATCATTGTTTGAGTCCACAGTGCTCTGGATGTAGGTGAACTACAACTCCAAAACTCAAGGTCAATGCCCACCAAACCCTTCCAGTATTTTCTGTTGGTCATGGGAGTTCTGTGTGCCAAGTTGGTTCAATTCCATCATTGGTAGAGTTCAGAATGCTCTTTGAATGTAGGTGAACTATAAATCCCAGCAATTACAACTCCCAAATGACAAAATCAATCCTCCCATCCCAACCCAACCAGTATTCAAATTTGGGCATATTGGGTATTTGTGCCAAATTTGGTCCAGTGAATGAGAATACATCCTGCATATCAGATATTTACATAACGATTCATAACAGTAGCAAAATTACAATTATGAACGTTGAGAACCACTGGTCTAGGTGTTTCTAGTTCCCTCAGTGATGGAAATTGACTCTGAAATCGCACTGGAAATTCCTAGAGAAGTTACTTCTGATGGATACCGGAGGACTTAGAAATACCTATGGAGAACATTTTTTTTAATTGCAAAGAGGGCCGTGGCAGCAGCAAATATAGTATTCTGCACGTAATCAAATGCACACATTCTTAACCCACAAACATGGAGACTAGGACGCGGAACAATGGCTTCAAACTACAAGAGAGGAGATTCCATTTGAACACGAGGAAGAACTTCCTGACTGTGAGAGCCGTTCAGCAGTGGAACTCTCTGCCCCGGAGTGTGGTGGAGGCTCCTTCTTTGGAAGCTTTTAAACAGAGGCTGGATGGCCATCTGTCAGGGGTGATTTGAATGCAATATTCCTGCTTCTTGGCAGGGGTGGACTGGATGGCCCATGAGGTCTCTTCCAACTCTTTGATTCTATGATTCTATGAGAGACAACTACACATGTTCTCTTCATTGCCTCATATTTACCATCTGTTTTCTCAATGGATTATTGATCCCAGTGACTAATGGAACTTATACTTTACTTATCAGACAAGGTGGAAATGATGAATATGTAATAAGAAATTCAATGTGCAAATTTGATAAATGTGAATTTAATATGATGTGTGGGAATGAATGGAAGGATAGATGGATGTATTTTGGAAACACCAGTATAATATTAAGGCCTGCAATGACTAATACCTGCCTGCTGGACTTGCTAATGAGAAATCCTGATAAGAACTGGGATAGTGATAAAGGAAATGTTTAATATTGCTTTAATTGTTTTTTATTTGCTTTAGGTTTTGTATTGTTATGTTGTGTATTGAGGCCTTGGCCTTTGTATGCCGCATCGAATCCTTCGGGAGATGCTAGCAGGGTACAAATAAAGTTAATAATAATAATAATAATAATAATAATAATAATAATAATAATAATTGTTTGCAACTTTCCTTATGTTAAGAAGGAAGTAAACACAAGTCTTGTGTTTGTTAACACCAATCAAGAAGATGTATCCAGGATGGAAGACGTCTATCATTAGTTTACAACTTGGGGACTACATCAACAGAATTTTCCTATAAAAGACTCAGTCTAATAATGCTCAAAGTGTGGCAGACCTGAGGAGTCTGTTCCACCCACCATACTCTGCTCAATGGGAAGGAGAGAGATGGTGTATTCAGAGAGTGGCAAATCTGCACGGGAGCAGTCTGGTCACTTTGGGGCTTCTTTCTCAAGGGAAGAGGAAGGAGTGTGCATCTTGAGTCTTAGATTCTGCAGTGAATCTAACCCTAACCCTAACCCTGCACCACTTCACTGCAGAGGAGGAGGTCTTTTTTTTCTTGTGTCAGGGCAGCCAGTCAAATATATTACATTTCTAACAGAGCAAAGCAAACAAACAGAGAAAATACAAAATGTGTGAGTTTGATAGTTGATTAGATGTCCTTTGACCAGTATCTGGCCACTTGGAGTGCTTCTGGTGTTGCTGCAAGAAGGTCCTCCATTGTGCATGTGGCAGGGCTCAGGGTGCATTGAAGCAGGTGGTCAGTGGTTTGCTCCTCTCCACACTCGCATGTCGAGGATTCCACTTTGTAGCCCCATTTCTGAAGGTTGGCTCTGCATCTCGTGGTGCCAGAGCGCAGTCTGTTCAGCGCCTTCCAAGTCGCCCAGTCCTCTGTGTGCCCAGGGGGGAGTCTCTCATTTGGTATCAGCCATGGATTGAGGTTCTGGGTTTGAGCCTGCCACTTTTGGACTCTCGCTTGCTGAGGTGTTCCAGCGAGTGTCTCTGTAGATCTTAGAAAACTATTTCTTTAAGTCATTGACGTGCTGGCTGATACCCAAACAGGGGATGAGCTGGAGATGCCTCTCAATCCAGAAGCAACCAGCATGCAAGAGGAGGAGGTGCAGTAATAGGATACAAGGGTAGGCCAGACAGTAAAAGAGGTGTGTTTTCTGGGCCTAGTGCCGCTCTATCTCTTTTTTCCATACCCCGGGCGCCCCGGATGCCTGCAGTTTGCTCCGCCCTTCACTTACACCTTCCCGGTGAGGCACCCCTTCACCTCACCATCGGGACCGCATTAAGTCCATGAATCCTGATGAATGGATTTTCTTCTACCATACTTGTAAAGCGGCTCCCTTAATTGTATTGCCGAAGGCTTTCATGGCTGGAATCACTAGGTTCTTGTGGGGTTTTTTGGGCTATAGGGCCATGTTCTAGAGGCATTTCTCCTGACGTTTCGCCTGCATCTATGGCAAGCATCCTCAGAGGTACCTTGAGGATGCTTGCCATAGATGCAGGCGAAACGTAAGGAGAAATGCCTCTAGAACATGGCCATATAGCCCGAAAAAACCCACAAGAACGTAGTGATTCCATAATTCTTTCATACAGTTGCTGCATATGGCAGGAACACGGCCACTGCAATTTTTTAGCTCCCCCCACTATATGCAGCAACCACAGATTCTCCAATCCGGATTGGAAGTTTCAGCACCCGCTCTATGAGATGACTCCTGAAGTATAAGACTACTCCCGCATATAAGACAACTTCCATGCATAAGGCTATCCCAGCGTATATGACGACCCCCGTGTATAAGATGACCCCTGTGTATAAGATGACCCCCACGTATAAGATGACCCCTGACTTGAGAAGATATTCTTGGGTTAGAAAGTAGTCTTATACACCAGAATATACATTAAATAAAAATGTAATGTTCGTTTGTGGGATTGACATAACTCAAAAACCACTGGACGAATTGACACCAAATTTGGACATAATACAAGTATCAAGCCAATGAGTGACCATCACTCATAAAAACACTGAAAAACCCAGCAGAAGGGACTTAAAAATCCAAAAAACAAAACATATATACACATATATATGCAAACACACATATATACACACATATATATATGCAAACACACATATATACACATATACACAAATATACACACATGCACACATATATATATACACACACTAAACACATATACACAGACTGAGCCACAGCAACGTGTGGCAGGGGACAGCTAGTAACAAATAAATTGTTGTTGTTGTTGTTGTTAACAGTGAGCTAAGAAGCTTCTACAACTCTGAGGAATTCTGTAAGAGTTCCTGAATATTCCAAGGACACAACAATCCTTGACTCAGAGCACAAACTGTAAGAACCAAATACTTACCCGCCGAAGAATTTGGTGTCAACAGCTTCAAATACAATCCCACATTCAAAAACTTTTAGATCTAATTGACCACCATCAAAGTTTTCTAAACGATACATCAATTTAACATGCAAATCCATCGAAACAGTCATTAAACTGGAGGGTCTTTTGTGGATCCTGAAAAATACAAACACAAGGGTACACTCCTTTGCAATGTGACAATATACCATTAAGAATAGGTAGAGATTTAATCACATGTAATGTCAAACAGAAGAGGAGGAAATACCTTATTTGAAGTAACCTTCCATTTTCCTTCAACAAGCCACATAGGTATAGGAAAAGTAGGTATAACAAAAACTGACACTGAAATGCAACACCGCTTGAGCTCTGCAAGTGCAGCATTTTTCTGAATGAAGCAGAGAGTGTTTAAGGATCAGAACATCCATAGGGATACCAAGGTGCTTGTCCATAAAGCCATTGTCCTCCCAGCCCTGCTATATGCCTGCAAAACATGGACTGTTTATAGATGTCACTCTCAACTTCTGGAATGATTCCATCAGCGTTGCCTCTGAAATATCCTCTAAATCTTTTGGGAAGACAGGTGGACATATGTCAGCATGTGGAAGAAGCAAAGACCACCAGCATTGAAGCCGTGATCCTCTGCCATCAACTTCCGCTGGACTGAATGCCATGATGTCCAAATGCCCAAAGATCACGGTTTCCCAAAGCACTTACTATATTCTCACCTCAAGAATGGAAAACAGAATGTTGATGGACAGGAAAAGAAATTTAATGATGGGCTTAAAGCCAACCTTAAAAACTGTGGCATAGACACCAAGAGAAAACTGGGAAACCCTGGCCCCTGTGCCTAACTGGAGGTCAGCTGTGACCAGTAATGCTGTGGAATTTGAAGAGGCACGAATGGAGGGTGAAAGGGAGAAATGTGCCAAGAGGAAAGCGCATCAAGCCAACCCTGACCGGGACTGCTGTGATGGCACGCCCGGGCCCTTGGGAAAAACTAATGTCTGGCTTTACTCGGGGGCTATCTGATACCTTCTGTTATGATCTCTTTTTTCGATAGAGTTACAAGCTGGGTAGATGCGGGAATGCCGTGGATGTAGCGTACCTGGATTTCAGTAAGGCCTTCGACAAGGTCCCCCATGACCTTCTGGCAAGGAAACTAGTCCAATGTGGGCTAGGCAAAACTACGGTGAGGTGGATCTGGAATTGGTTAAATGGACGAACCCAGAGGGTGCTCACCAATGCTTCCTCTTCATCTTGGAAAGAAGTGACAAGTGGAGTTCCCTCCTGGGCCCGGTCCTGTTCAACATCTTTATTAATGACTTAGATGAAGGGCTAGAAGGCATGATCATCAAGTTTGCAGACGACACCAAATTGGGAGGGATAGCCAATACTCCAGAGGACAGGAGCAGGATGCAAAACGATCTTGACAGATTAGAGAGATGGGCCAAAACTAACAAAATGAAGTTCAACAGTGACAAATGCAAGATACTCCACTTTGGCAGGAAAAACGAAATGCAAAGATACAGAATGGGGGATGCCTGGCTCGAGAGCAGTACGTGTGAAAAAGATCTTGGAGTCCTCGTGGACAACAAGTTAAACATGAGCCAACAATGTGATGTGGCGGCAAAAAAGCCAATGGGATTTTGGCCTGCATCAATAGGAGCATAGTGTCTAGATCTAGGGAAGTCATGCTACCCATGCTCTATTCTGCTTTGGTTAGACCACACCTGGAATATTGTGTCCAATTCTGGGCACCACAATTCAAGAGAGATATTGATAAGCTGGAATGTGTCCAGAGGAGGGCAACTAAAATGATCAAGGGTCTGGAGAACAAGCCCTATGAGGAGCGGCTTAAGGAGCTGGGCATGTTTAGCCTGAAGAAGAGAAGGCTGAGAGGAGACATGATAGCCATGTATAAATATGTGAGAGGAAGTCAAGGGAGGAGGAAGCAAGCTTTCTTTCTGCTTCCCTGGAGACTAGGACGCAATGGAACAATGGCTTCAAACTACAAGAGAGGAGATTCCATCTGAACATTAGGAAGAGCTTCCTAATCGTGAGAGTTGTTCAGCAGTGGAACTCTCTGCCCTGCAGGGTGGTGGAGGCTCCTTCTCTGGAGGCTTTTGAACAGAGGCTGGATGGCCATCTGTCGGGGGTGCTTTGAATGCAATTTTCCTGCTTCTTGGCAGGGGGTTGGACTGGATGGCCCGTGAGGTCTCTTCCAACTCTTTGATTCTATGATTCTATGATTCTATGATTCTATGATTAAGACCCTTAGCAGACAGAGGCACTTAAGGCAAGGTGAAAAGATAACCAAAATGAGTTTATTGAAACAAGATGAATAAAGGGTTAACTCCACCCAGGACTATCATAGGATAACTCAAAACAATACATTACAAAAAGAGATATTGCGGATTGCAGTCATCTCTCTGGAGTCTTTGAAAGTCTCTTACCTCTGGTGCAAAGATATGGTTATAAACTGTCTCAATCTTCTTTCTTGTGAAGCTTAAGCTGGCCAAAAGCTTCTGTTGTCCTTTGGACTGCTGGTATATGGCTACTGCTGAATGCAGGTGCTAAGAATGCCTGTTTTGGGTTGTGTAGCGAATTTGTTACTCTATGTGAAAATTTTAGTGCATAGCTCAGCGTTTCTCAACCTGGGGGTCGGGACCCCTGAGGGGGTCGTGAGGGAGTGTCAGAGGGGTCGCCAAAGACCATAAGAAAACACAGTATTTTTTGATGGTCATGGGGATTTCCATGTAGAATGTTTGAGCCAATTCTATCGTTGGTGCAGTTCTTTGATTATAATGAACTGTAATTCCCAGTAACTACAACTCCCAAATGTCAAGATCTATTTTCCCCAGACTCCACCAGTGTTCGCATTTGGGCATATTGAGTATTCGTGCCAAGTTTGGTCCAGATCCACCATTGCATGAGTCATAGAATCATAGAATCATAAAATCAAAGAGTTGGAAGAGACCTCGGCCATCCAGTCCAACCCCCTGCCAAGAAGCAGGAATATTGCATTCAAATCACCCCTGACAGATGGCCATCCAGCCTCTGCTTAAAAGCCTCCAAAGAAGGTACCTCCACCACACTCTGGGGCAGAGAGTTCCACTGCTGAACATCTCTCACAGTCAGTACCCCTCTATTCTGTTTTGGTTAGACCAAATCTGGAATATTGTGTCCAGTTCTGGGCACCACAATTCAAGAGAGATATTGACAAGCTGGAATGTGTCCAGAGGAGAGCGACTAAAATGATAAAAGGTCTGGAGAACAAGCCCTATGAGGAGCGGCTTAAGGAGCTGGGCATGTTTAGCCTGAAGAAGAGAAGGCTGAGAGGAGATATGATAGCCATGTATAAATATGTGAGAGGAAGCCACAGGGAGGAGGAGGGAGCAGGCTTGTTTCTGCTTCCTTGGAGACTAGGACGCGAACAATGGCTTCAAACTACAAGAAAGGAGATTCCATCTGAACATGAGGAAGAACTTCCTGACTGTGAGAGCCGTTCAGCAGTGGAACTCTCTGCACCGGAGTGTGGTGGAGGCTCCTTCTTTGGAAGCTTTTAAACAGAGGCTGGATGGCCATCTGTCAGGGGTGATTTGAATGCAATATTCCTGCTTCTTGGCAGAATGGGGTTGGACTGGATGGCCCATGAGGTCTCTTCCAACTCTTTGATTCTATGATTCTGTGATGTTTTAGGAATAGCTGTTAGTGAAAAGCAGTTAGATAAATAGATCTTGAGTCTTAAGGAAAGTAAAAAAGACCTGAGTTGCCTATTTTCAGAATATAAAAGGAAGTAACATGTTCGTGGATGTCAAACTTTGAAAGTTATTGAGAAAGGTTAACCAAGCAAGTGTAACTAAATGTAAGCATCAACAACTGTAACAAGACACAAAAACAATTGTATCCACAACATTTGGAGCCTGAAGGGTTTGAATAAACTTACTTTGTTACATATAAGAGAGCCTCCAGCCAGTGTTTCCAAGCCAAAGAGGCTTTTGTTTTACAACACACAGAGCATCTCAGATATTAAAGTGTTGGAAGAGGACTGCACATAGAATCATAGAATCATAGAATCAAAGAGTGGGAAGAGACCTCCTGGGCCATCATCCAGTCCAACTCCATTCTGCCAAGAAGCAGGAATGTTGCATTCAAATCACCCCTGACAGATGGCCATCCAGCCTCTGCTTAAAAGCTTCCAAAGAAGGAGACTCCACCACACTCCGGGGCAGAGAGTTCCACTGCTGAACGGCTCTCACAGTCAGGAAGTTCTTCCTCATGTTCAGATGGAATCTCCTCTCATGTACATAGGTACATGCTTCTTTACAAACTGGTGGCTTCCCTCCCTGGCATTGCAGATTGCTTGGCCTAGGATTATCAGACAATGCCCCAAGCCTCTAGTAACTGTAGAAAAAGGAGGAGTCCAGCAAGAGAGCCCTATACAGGGAATTGGAATAGACAAACCAAGAGAGCTCTATATAGGGAATTGGAATAGACCAACTAAGGCTGGCCTCTGGGGGGTGTTATGCTCCACCCAAAAACTAATGCAAAGGAAGGTACCTACACTATTGAGAAAATCATCAGTTCCTCTCAACAGGGGAACCTGATTCAAAGGAGAAGAAAAAGCAGAGCCAAGACTTCACAACCGCCTTTCACCTGGAAACCGATGCCTTCACTGTGGAAGAACATATGGGTCAAGTATAGGCTCCAGAATCACCTATGTATCCACCACCAAGACACTACGCTTAGAAGGCCATCACACTCGGACAACGAGTAAGTAAGTAAGATATAGAAATGGTTATCAATTACTTTTATTGGGGCTTTATGCATAAGGTCACGGTGAATTATATATTTTTTAAATAAATTACCAATTTCAGAGGGCTAATAAGAGTTTCTGAAGTTTAGTTCTGGGCCTGATTTGGGAGATAATTTGTTTAAATCCCTGGTACCCTTTACACCATTTGGTATGTAATACTATACAGATGAGTAAAATACATTAAAGGCTATGACTTATATCTTTTTTCACGGGCAAGATATGTTTGTTTTGCTGTTGGAAAAAGCGGATTGCCAATACTCACGCATGGCCAATGACGTCCATATGAATATACAGATTCACCTCTGCTGACCCGTCGAGCAAGAACACCTTAACATCAGTAAGATCGACATTCGCAATACTAAGCCTGAAAAAAGGGATTGAAAGCAGTGAGAACAGGGATGCACTCAGGCAACTTTAAATAATGTAATTTGTTTAATTGTTGTTATGTAGCGGTTCTCAACCTGGGGGTCGCGACCCCCAGGGGGTCACCTGGCCATTTTGGAGGGGTCGCGAGGCCACCTCCGTTGGCCCCGCCCCAAGGGCGCAGGCCAGGTGAGAGCTCCTTTGCGCGAGGCCTGACTTTGCACAAAGCCCCCTCGCCCACCTCGCACTTTCACCATTTGACGAGGGCGCAAGGTGAGTGAGGGGATCTTGGCGCAAGGCCTGACTTCGCGCAAAGCTCCCTCGCCTGCATCATGCTTTCGCCATCGCCGGAACCCCTGAATGGGTCGCAAGGGGGGTGTCAGATGAGTCACCAAAGACTATCTGTTGACCATGGGCCTTCTGTTTGGTAAGTTTGGCCCAATTCTATCATTGGTGAGGTTCAGAATGCTCTTTGATTGCAGGTGAACTGTAAACCCCAGTAACTATAGCTCCCAAATGTCAAAGTCTATTTTCCCCAAACTCCACCACTGTTCACGTTTGGCCAATTGAGCATTCATGCCAAGTTTGGTCCAGACTGATCATTGTTTGAGTCCACAGTGCTCTCTGGATGTAGGTGAACTACAACTCCAAAACTCAATGCCCATCAAATCCTTCCAGTATTTTCTATTAGTAAATGGGAGTTCTATATGCCAAGTTTAGTTCAATTTCATCATTAGTGGAGTTCAGAATGCTCTTTGATTGTAGGTGAACTATAAATCCCATCAACTACAACTCCCAAATGACAAAATCCCCCCACCCCACCAGTATTCAAATTTGGGCCTATTGGGCATTTGTGCCAAACTTGATTCAATGAATGAAAATACAACCTGCATATCAGATATTAACATTATGATTCATAACAGGAGCAAAATTCCAGTTATAAAGTAACAATGAAAATAATTTTATGGTTGGGGGGTCACCACAACATGAGGAACTGTATTTAGGGGTCGCCGCATTATTTTTGGTGCTACTTCATAACTGTAATCTTGCTACTGTTATAAATCATAATGTAAATATCTGATAGGCAGGATGCATTCTCATTCACTGGACCAAATTTGGCACAAATACCCAATTCGCCCAAATTTGAATACTGGTAAGGTTGGGGGAGATTGATTTTGTCATTTGGGAGTTGCCGTTGCTGGGATTTATAGTTCACCTACAATCAAAGAGCATTCTGAATGCCACCAATGGGAATTGAACCAACTTGGCACACAGAACTCCCTGACCAACAGAAAATACTGGAAGGATTTGGTGGGTGTGCTGTCATGCAGTGGGCCTATAGCAGTTGTCTTTTGAACAGGACGTGCTGTTTGTGCCCAGCGGGAAACCGGGGTGCCTTGACTGAGAGGCCCTAAGGATTTTCCTATACAAAAGTCTTTAGAAGCTTGAAAGGTTTAACAAAGTCCTTTATTATTGCTTAGAGTCTTCAACAAACAATCAAATACTTCTTAGATCTTCAACAAATTAAACAAATGCTTCTTAACTTGTCTACAAAGGACAGGCACCTTGCTTGGAGAACTATTTCTTTCTTTAACAAGGAAAACCCTTTTTGACCCCTCCCGGGCAATCTGTTTTCTAAACTTTGCTGGTGTGGGCCCTACTCCCGGCTCCAAACTGCTTCTTGGGTCCCGAGTAGACCTACCAGCCAAGGCTTTGTAGATTTTCCAGCTGGAGTCCTTTTGGATTTTCTCCACGAATGGTGTGGATCTGTATCTTTAACCCCAACAAGGGTTGTGCTGTAAAACTGTTTTCCTTAGAAGCTTTAGGGCTGTTTCCCCCGGATGTTGTGAGAAACGAAGCTTCTCTAGAGGGGGGGGAAAGCTCACGTCTTTCAGTTTTGGGCTTTTTTTCCCCTCCCAGAGCCCTGGGGAAAGGGGTGGAACTAAAGAACATAATGATGATTGATGGGTCATTGGCCCTATAATTGCAGAGCAAGGGAAACCACCTTATTGCAAAATGCATGGAACCTTGCAATACATGCAAACACTCAATAGAAAGAAAATGAAGTAGAAGCTCCTGGTACAGCCATACCAGCACAGTGGGCATTGACCTTGAGCTTTGGAGTTGTAGTTCACCTACATCAAGAGACCACTGTGGACTCAAACAATGATGGATCTGGACGAAACTTGGCATAAATACTCAATATGCCCAAATGTGAACACTGGTGGAGTTTGGGGAAAATAGACCTTGACATTTGGGAGTTGTAGTTGCTGGGATTTATAGTTTGCCTACAATCAAAGAGCATTCTGAACCCCACCAATGTTGAAATTGAACCAAACTTGACACACAGTACTCCCATGACCAACAGAAAATACTGGAAGGGTTTGGTGGCCATAGACCTTGAGCTTTGGAGTTGTAGTTCACCTACATCCAGAGAGCACTGTGGACACAATGATGGATCTGGACTGAACTTGGCACAGATATTCAATATGCCCAAAGTGAACACTGGTGGAGTTTGGGGAAAATAGACCTTGACATTTGGGAGTTGTAGTTGCTGGGATTTATAGTTCACCTACAATCAAAGAGCATTCTGAACTCCACCAATGATGGAATTGAACCAAACTTGGCACACAGTACTCCCATGACCAACAGAAAATACGGGAAGGGTTTGGTGGGCATTGACCTTGAGTTTGGAGTTGTAGTTCACCTACATCCAGAGAGCACTGTGGAATCAAACAATGATGGATCGGACCAAACTTGGCACAGATACTCAATATGCCCAAATGTGAACACTGGTGGAGTTTGGGGAAAATAGACCTTGACATTTGGGAGTTGTAGTTGCTGGGATTTATAGTTCACCTACAATCAAAGAGCATTCTGAACCCACCAACGATAGAATTGGGCCAAACTTCCCATAGAGAGCCCCCATGCCCAACAGAAAATACAAGAAGGGTTTGATGGTCCTTGGCCACCCCCCCCCCCCCGCCAAAAAAAACCCCCCAGGGGTCCTGACTCCCAGGTTGAATGATGCTGTCCCAACATAATTGTGTCAATGCTGGCAACTTTTTGCATAATCCCATTATCAGACATTGCTTAGAGACATCAATCATAAAGCATCCACATTGCAAATCTCCGTTTGTGCTTACCCAACAACACTGCCATGCTTGATGTCAAGAAGTGTAAGGCCTTTCAGGTGATTCGCTAGAAGATCATCTTGTGTTAAAGTCCCTTTAAAGGCTGAAACATATACATAATATCCGTGAGATGATGTGATTCTGTATCCACAGATTCCTTCATCCGCTATTATATATTTATTTATTTATTTACTGTATTTGTATACCGCCTTTCTCAGCCTATCGGCGACTCAAGGCGGTTTCCAACAAAACAGGAAACATAATATCATAGTACAAATTAGACATTAAAACAACATAAAACACAACAAGCAATAAAAACAACATAATTAGCCTCTCCTTATTGTCAAGCATTGTCCAGTTCTATCATCAAATTGTCAGATTTCCTATATCAGTTATCTATATCCGTTACTCTGTATTTGTGAACGCTTGCTCAAATAGCCATGTTTTAACTTGCTTCCGAAACGTTGAGGGAAAGAGCAGATCTAATTTCTCTAGGGAGGGCGTTCCATAGCCGAGGGGCCACCACTGAGAAGACTCTTTCTCTCGTCCCCGCCAAACGTACCTGTGACGAAGGCGGGACCGAGAGCAGGGCCTCCCCGGATGATCTCAAGGTCCTTGATGGTTCATAAGGGGAGATGCATTCGGACTAGTAAGTTGGGCCAGAACCGTTTAGGACTTTATAGGCCAAAGCTAGCACTTTGAATTGAGCCTGGTAGCAAACCAGCAGCCAGTGGAGCTGACGCAACAGCGGGGTTGTATGCTCCCTGAGAGCCGCTCCTGTTAGCAATCTGGCTGCTGTTCGTTGGACTAAGTGAAGCTTCCGGACCATCTTCAAAGGCAACCCCACGTAGAGCGCATTGCAGTAGTCTATACAGGATGTAACCAGAGCGTGTACTACTGTGGCCAACTCAGACTTCCTAAGGTATGGGCGCAGCTGGCGCACAAGCTTTAATTGTGCAAATGCTCCCCTGGTCACCGCCGAAACCTGAGTATAAACAGCCACACCTGTACAATCAGCCACTCATGGGATTTTAATGTTTATACCAGAATTATTTTATGCTTGTCTTTAGATTCAATCAGTTTATTTTATATTGAGATGAAGACTGCTACAGACAGCTGTTTTTGGGTCCTTCAGCCATTTCGGTTAATGAGCAGGCGTGCATTGTAGGAAATGTAGTTTAACAGCAGGGCCTTTTGCAATCTCTACCACTGGGGGCCTGGCCTTCCCAAACTACAATTAAGATGGCTGTGATTAGCCACACTCACCGCATCCCTTCTGGCAGCCCTGGCCAAAAGAATGAGATTTTAAAAGTTTTTAGGCTTTACCAAAGTTGCTTAATGGTTGTGAAAATTAAAATAACCTTGGGAGACATCCAAACATTACAGAATATTTCCCAAAAAAAGGGGGTAAGAGGTTCAAAATCGGAATTTTCCCCACAACTTTCCTGCATGGTTCAAAACCCGCTTTGTATGTTTTTTCCAAATTTTAATCATTTCCAAGCGAACTTATCCAACCCTAATAGTGTTGGAGCTCAGCCTGTGGTTGTGTTTCAGGATCAGGGTGGTTTAGATTTGGGGAGGGATGTCAATGAGTTTCAAGATGGCAATAGTTTGGTCAATGATATTGATGCAGAGAATGATGAGGAGATCCCTGTTCAAAGTATAGTTTCTCATGAGAATGTCCCTGAAGGGTGTGGGGATGATGATGCACTCCCTGAATTGCTACCAGAGAATTCCCTTGATTTGGAGCTTGAAAACAGCTCGGCACCTGGCCCAGCTGCAGAAATTAATGAGCAAATAGATAGATGAGAGAAGATTAGTCAAAACAGAAAAGCTGAACAGTGGCTTCGGCGTTCTGTCAGGCTCAGAGAGAAAAAGATAAGAGATTCTAAGCTAAAGTGAAACTAATTCCTGTGCATAGCTTAACAAGGAGATAAAAGTCCCAAGTACAGGATATGTAGTCAGATGAAGCATCGTTTGGAATCAAGTCAAAATCTAGTCCTTGTTTCATGGAAGCTTTGCTTGGAAGATTTATGCTTAAGTGTCTTTTGTTTCATGGTTTTGATTCTTGGATTCTATGATTTTATATTCATGCCCTGGGATCATGTTTCCTGGTTTTTTGGATTTTATTAGAGAAGTTTTTCCTTTGTTTTCATGGACTTTGCTGGACTTTTACCCTGGACTACTTTGTTCCTGCTTATCTTCTTACCGAACTGGATTTACCTATTTCTTTAAAGTGCTTTTTTACTTTACTGCTTTTTAATTATCTTCAATAAAAGGATTGTTTTCCTATTCAACTGCGTAGTGTTTAAAATCAGAAGGCTTTTCCTGTTCTGGAGTGCAACAATAGGGACATCTTAAGGTTGTCATAAATCCCAAACAATTCAAAGGAGTACAACAGCTACATCCTTTCCAAGCTCTTCCTCATGCCTCCCAATTTTCCCTTGTTTGCACCAGGTGGGCCGTGGAAGGATTAGTATGGAACGTTCTTAGGATGGACTGTTCTCTACCCTAAATAATCCAGTGGGATTTCTTACCTTTAGACATTTCATCATCAGATAAAGCAACCCTAATCCCTGGAATCGTTCCTTCAGCAGGGCTCAATAGGCCACAGAAGGCTAGAACTCCCAGAATCTTCCACATCTTGCTGTTCTCAGACCTAAATGGGAAAAATACTCGGCCTGTTAATGAACATCGAGAAAACCAAAGTGCTCTTCCAGCAGTCACCAGCCAACCCCTCTCCAATGCCAGAGATACAGCTTAATGGTGTAATATTAGAAAATGTTGGCCATTTCCACTGCCTCAGCAGCCACCTCTCCACCAAAGTCAACACTGACACTGAAATACAACACCACCTGAGCAGCATTTTTCCGAATGAAGGGGTTTCAGAGGGGTCACCAAAGACGATCAGAAAACACATATTTCTGTTGGTCTTAGGTAGCACCTTTGGCAGAGAAGACTGAAGATCTCTCCACCTGTCCTTCTCTTCCTTTTTGGAAACAGAGGGCAAATCCTCCCACCAAAACCCCTCCTCCGCTGTGATTGGCAAGCCTCTCAGCAAAGGGGTGGGCTGTTTCTGAGACCCCAAGAAGGAAGGGAGTCTGTTGTATTGTAGAAGGCTTTCATGGCTGGAATCACGGGGTTGTTGTAGATTTTTCGGGCTATGGCCATATTCTAGAAGCATTCCCTCCTGATGTTTCGCCTGCATCTATGGCAAGCATCCTCAGAGGTAGTGAGGTCTGTTGGAACTAGGAAAATGGGTTTATATATTTGTGGAAGGTCCAGGGTGGGAGATAGAACTCTTGTCTGTTGGAGCTAGGTGAGAATGTTTCAACTGGCCACCTTGATTAGCATTTGATGGCCTGGCAGATTTTGGTGTGGCTTGTTACTGCCTGGGGGATCTTATGTTGAGAGGTGGTTAGCTGTTCCTGATTATTTCCTCTCTGGAGTTTCCCTGTGTTTTCGTGTTGTTTTGCTGTTGTAATTTTAGAGTTTTTTTTAATACTGGTAGCCAGATTTTGTTCATTTTCATGGTTTCCTCCTTTCTGTTGAAATTGTCCACCTGCTTCTTGTGTATTTCAATGGCTTCTCTGTGTAGCCTGACATGGTGGTTGTGAGAGTGGTCCAGCATTTCTGTGTTCTCAAATAATATGCTGTGTCCAGGTTGGTTCATCAGGTGCTCTGCTATGGCTGACTTCTCTGGTTGAAGGAGTCTGCAGTGCCTTTCCTGTTTCTTGATTCATAGAATCATAGAATCAAAGAGTTGGAAGAAACCTTCTGGGCCATCATCCAGTCCAACCCCATTCTGCCAAGAAGCAGGAATATTGCATTCAAATCACCCCTGACAGATGGCCATCCAGCCTCTGCTTAAAAGCTTCCAAAGAAGGAGCCTCCACCACACTCCGGGGCAGAGAGTTCCACTGCTGAACGGCTCTCACAGTCAGGAAGTTCTTCTTCATGTTCAGATGGAATCTCCTTTCTTGTAGTTTGAAGCCATTGTTCCGCGTCCTAGTCTCCAAGGAAGCAGAAAACAAGCTTGCTCCCTCCTCCCTGTGGCTTCCTCTCACATATTTATACATGGCTATCATATCTCCTCTCAGCCTTCTCTTCTTCAGGCTAAACATGCCCAGCTCTTTAAGCCGCACTTCATAGGGCTTGTTCTCCAGACCCTTGATCATTTGAGTCGTCCTCCTCTGGACACATTCCAGCTTAGAGTCAACCTCTCTCTTCAGTTGTGGTGCCCAGAATTGGACATTCTCATAGAACACATGCGTTCAGGTCACAGATCTCTTTCACATGTTCTGTTTTCAAGCCAAGCACTGCTCATCCTGTATCTTTGCATTTCATTTTTTCCCTGCCTAACTTAATTATCTTACATTTCTCCTTGTTGAGATTCATTGTGTTACTTTCCACCAATCAGCTCTCCAATCTGTTGGGGTCATTTTGAATTCTGATCCTGTCCCCTGGAGTGTTAGCTTTCCCTCCCAATTTGTTGTCATCTGCAAACTTTATCGGCACACCCTTAACAATTTAATCCAAGTCACAAATAGTAATGTTGAACAGTCCTGAGTGTGGGACCAAACTTTGTGGCACTGGAAGTTGACCATTCTCATAGAACACATGAGTTCCGGTCACAGATCCCACGGTCAAACTGCCCTGACCATTCAGAAGTTCTTTCTAATGTTAACATAGAAATATTATTTTTCTGCATTTTTAATCCATTCCTGTGTGTCTTGCTTGGTTGTATCAGCAGAAATCAGACCCAAAGCCTTCTCCGGGCAGCTTTCTCCTGCCAACCGTGCAAGGGCAATGACTGTGTGTGCTTTTACAAAATGATCAATTGTGCAGAAAACAATAGTATTCCCTTATCAAAGCTTTATCGGCATTGGGAAGAATTATTGAAAGAGAGACACAATGCTATAGTACTGAGATTAGATGACCTGCTCCCTTTCTTCTGGTGTCACCAAACAGGTGGCAACAAGTTTCCTGCCAATTTCTCCCAAGACAAGGGGCACATCGACATCAAACACTTGTCACTTTCAAGTCGGCACTGAAGAAAGCGATTTCACGGTGCAGATCATTCGCTTACACAGGAAATCAAGGAACCGGTTTGACGCCCGGACAATGATGACACTAACCGCAGAGGCTGGGATGTTATTCATTTTCTTGCTCAGCCATGGAAACTCATTGAGCACCCTTAGAAAAGTCACACACTCTCAGCCTCCATTGCCAGAAGGGACAGAGAGCTTCATCTATGCTGATGATCGTGCCATTACTGCTCAAGCAGGGAGCTTTGAGATGGTTGAACAGAAGCTCTCTGAAGCTCTAGGTGCCCTTGCCGCCTATTACAGGGAAAACAAGCTGATCCCTAATCCATCTGAAACACAGACATGTGCTTTTCATCTCAAGAACAGACAAGCATCTCGAGCTCTGAGGATCACCTGGGAAGGAATCCCACTGGAGCACTGCAACACACCCAAATACCTGGGAGTCACTCTGGACCATGCTCTGACCTACAAGAAGCACTGCCTGAACATCAAGCAAAAAGTGGGCGCTAGAAACAATCTATATATATAAAAATGCTCTGTGCGTAATGAGTACCTTAAAAACAAAAGAACCAATGAACGAAATCATACCAAATTTAGCAACAAAACATCTCACAACACAAGGAGTGACTATCACTCAAAAATATGATTTTGTCATTTTGGGAGTTGTAGTTGCTGGGATTTATAGTTCACCTACAATCAAAGAGTGTTCTGAACTCCTTGAAGGAGCTGGGGGTGGTGACGGCCGACAGGGAGCTCTGGCGTGGGCTGGTCCATGAGGTCACAAAGAGTCGGAGACGACTGAACAAATGAACAACAACAAGACCTTGACATTTGAGAGTTGTAGTTGCTGGGATTTATAGTTCACCTACAATCAAAGAGCGTTCTGAACTCCACCAACGATGGAATTGAACCAAACTTGGCACACAGAACTCCCATGACCAACAGAAAATACTGGAAGGGTTTGGTAGGCATTGACCTTTAATTTGGGAGCTGTAGTTCACCTACATCCAGAGAGCACTGTGGACTCAAACAATGATGGGTCTGGACCAAACTTGGCACAAGCACTCAATACGCCGAAATATGAATACAGATGGAGTTTGGGGGAAATAGACCTTGACATTTGGGAGTTGTAGTCACTGGGATTCACAGTTCATCCACAATCAAAGAGCATTCTGAACCCCACGAACAACAGTATCGGGGCAAACTTCCCACACAGAACCCCCATGACCAACAGAAAATTCTTAAGGCCATCCAATCCAACTCCCTTCAGCAGGGCAAGAAAACTTAATCAAAGTCCTCCTGACAAAGAGCCAGCCAGCCATAGATATAGATAGATAGATAGATAGATAGATAGATAGATAGATAGATAGATAGATAGATAGATATGATTCACACACACACAGATATAGTATCATAGATCTGAAAAGTACTCTTAAAGAAGGACAATGATATGTTGCATGTTTCAGGGTGGGCAGACCAGACACTCTTCACATCAACACTGACAAAGAAACAGCGAGAAATACTGTTTACCCACAAGCAGAAAGACATTACATATATTAGAAACCAACAGTTTCTCGTTACTTTATTTTCCAGATCAACAGACTAGGCCACAGCAACGTGTGGCAGGGGACAGCTAGTATCATATGAAAGCTAACTGGCACAACCTGGGGATCACAGCCAGACACAGTGAAGACATCTGCCCTTGCGCTATGCTACTCTGCTGCTGAGTATGCATGCCCAGTGGGGAACACATCTCACCACACTAAAACAGTGGATGTGGCTCTTAATGAGACATGCCACATTATCACGGGGTGTCTGTGCCCCACGCCAAGGGAGAAATTACACTGTTTAGCCAGTATTGCACCACCTGACATCCACCAGGAAGTAGCAGCCAGTAGTGAAAGGACCAAGGCAGAGACATCTCTGGCCCATCCTCTGTTTGGGTATCAGCCAGCACGCCAACGACTTAAATCAAGAAATAATTTTCTAAGATCTACAGAGACACTCGCTGGAACACCTCAGCAAGCGAGAGTCCAAAAGTGGCAGGCTCAAACCCAGAACCTCAACCAATGGCTGATACCAAATGAGAGACTTCCCTCTGGGCACACAGAAGACTGGGCGACTTGGAAGGTGCTGAACAGACTGCGCTCTGGCACCACGAGGTGCAGAGCCAATCTTCAGAAATGGGGCTACAAAGTGGAATCCTCGCCATGCGAGTGTGGAGAAGGGCAAACCACTGACCACCTGCTGCAATGCACCCTGAGCCCTGCCACATGCACCATGGAGGACCTCCTTGCGGCAACACCAGAAGCACTCCAAGTGGCCAGATACTGCTCAAAGGACATTGAATCAACTACCAAAATTGCAAACTCTGTTTTGTCTGTTTGTTAAAAAATTGTTTAAAATGTAATACAATTGTCTGGTTGATACTAACACGATAAATAAATAAAATTATCAGACATGCATTTAATCTGCCTTTGACCCTCTTCTCTCACAGGTAAAACTACATATTATCACACAATAGCAGACACATAGACAAACCGTACCTGTGTAGTACTTTTGGTAACACAAGAAACTTCGGTCTTCATCTGTCTC